AAAGACGTTGTTTGTCTAGGTTTCTCCCTGAGTAAAATTATTATTCATTTGCCAAAAGAATTCATAGAAACGTTTGACGTCAAAGCAGGTATTTAAACTCAATGAACGTATTGAATGCAAGCTGCGACCATCGCGTAATGTTGCCACAGAATAGTACATTTTGATTAAATGACCATACAATAACACATGAGCGGGATTGGCTCATTGTAACATTGACAGACGTGAGATTTACTTTCTTCAGTCGAAATGTTGATACTAGCAACAGCTGCTTGCCAATGTGGAAAAATTTGAGATTTTTCAAATTGGCATGCTAGTATGGATAAATATGAGATGTGTTCCGTTGGCGTGCTAATAAAGATAAAGATGAATTTTTCGGAAACTGATCCCTATGCATTACAGCAAAAACTGAGTTTATAGTTAATTTTGTGTAAAGATTACTTTGTAGTGATTGCTAGACTGGACTCCCCCGCCACCCCCCTCCACTTCCCCTTTCGTCGCCTCAAAGTCACGCACAGTTCCCCGATTTATAAGCCCTTCCCAATAGTCCCCTCTCGACTCTCACTCTTAAAACTCATCTCTTTGCTCGTTCCTCTTAAATACGACCGCCCCGCCCCCCGAGCCAAACAAATCTCAGAGAACCATTTACCGCTACTAAATCTCCATGTATCCCACACATACTGGCACTACAGCCCATGTAGGTCCCTGATCAGTCTGCTCCACTACATTATTCCATTTAGACATCATCATAAGTGGCGCTACAGCGCACGTAAGACCATGTCCTGCTCCACTACATCCTTCCATTTAGACATCATCATCAGTGGCGCTAAAGCCCACGTAGGACCCCGGTCTGTCTGCTCCACTATATCCTTCCATTCGGATCGGTCCCTAGCTGTCTACTAGCGGGCCCCAGCTGGTATAAGCCCTTCTCTGCACCGTCAATCTATCTCAGTCTTGGCCGACCGTCGAGCCGCCTGCCTAGGGACGCTAAGTTTCTGTCCGTAGATCACTTTCGCTGCTCTGCAATACGCCATTCTCTCACGGTGTCCTGTCCACCGCAGCCTGTACCCCCAGTCTCTTCTTAATTACCCCTCCCCCTATTTTTACGCTGCTCCCGTTTGCCCTCTTCCCTAGGTTACCGGTACATAGAGACAATTAACTAAATATATTCACTTTATTAATATTGCTACCATTCAAATCATGTCAAGCCATTAATAATATTTATAAACAAATTATTTCCCCCCCCCCCTTTTTTTTTTTCTTCTTTTTTTAACAAAGGAATATTTTAAAACCATGAAATTAGTATACGCTCCTCAACAATGACACGCCTAACCCCCTACCCCCACCACCACCCACCTCCAAACCCATGATTCATCCGCACTCTACAGCCGTATAGTGTTTCTATATAGCCACCATCTGGTAGCACTTTTCAAATCAGATCATCAGTAACAGTTGTTTGGTTGGTTCTCTTTTTGTTGTTGCCGGAGTGCTAGCTCATAGTAAACTATCCATGGCTTAGAGGGGATCAACAGGGATCAGAGAAGTGGGTCCATCATAGTTGATAGAGTTCTCTTTTTTTTTTATACAGGACTGTTGCAAGGTATGTTCTTTTTCTTGTTGTTGTTACAATTGAAGGGGATTTAATGAAAGCATGTGTATTTTTGTTTCCTCGCCGGGGAAGGGTGGGGGGTGGAGGTATTTTCCTTCGATGTTTGAATTACTTGATGGTAATTTATATTGGTTTTTTTCTCAGATTCTCCAAGTGTTTTACTTTACTCCTGTCACTGTCTATAACGGTGATGTCGTTCATTTCCGAGTGCATTCGGTTTTTATTTATGTGTTTTTTTTTATACTAAGCAAACATTTTAAGTCCAATTACTTCAATTAGTTGAGCATTGCATTATTTCCCCAGGGTGCACCGTTCACCCACAAAATTTGAAAATCATTGCTATTCATACATTTAAATATAATTTCACCATTTTTTTAATCACAGGACGGAATTAAATTCCTCCATGTCCGACGTTAAAAAAGACAACACACACAAATTTGACCGGGAGACTAAACAAAGACAACATTTTCAATAGCTGTCTGCAGTACTTAAACCACCGAGGACAACTTATGTATTAAAAGTAAGCACTAAAATACCAGCTGGATAAAAATTAGACAAGCCTGTGGGGGAAAAAATTCGTATCTGTTTAACAGAAGAGTATCCCCAATGCTGATGATGAGAATGAGAGCAGTCACACCAATGCGGATTGTTGCGGGACTCACATTCGGAGGTGTCGCCCTGATTGTTCTAAAACTGCTGGTGGTCCAGTTGGTTAGAGGTAAGCATCTGAATAAAATCATGGAAGTCTGAACCAGTAATACACCGTGAACAAATAGAAGAGGCGGGGAGAGGGCTGACAACGACTGGGGGGAGGGGGTGACAATGCCTGAAGGTTGACAATGACTGAGGGTTGACAATGACAGAGGGTTGACAATGATTGATGGTTGACAATGACAGAATGTTGACAATGACTGAAGGTTGACAATGACAGAGGGTTGACAATGACTGAAGGTTGACAAAGACAGAGGGTTGACAATGAGTGAAGTTGACAATGACTGTAGGTTGACAATGACAGACGGTTGACAATGACTGGAGGTTGACAGTGACAGAGGGTTGACAATGAGTGAAGTTGACAATGACTGAAGGTTGACAATGACAGAGGGTTGACAATGACTGAAAGTTGACAGTGACAGAGGGTCGACAGTGAAAGAGGATCTATAATGACAGGGGGTTGACAATGACTGAATACTGAAAATGACTGAAGGTTGACAGTGACATAGGGTCTACAATGACATGATTGTTGACGATGGCTAAAGGTTGACAGTGACAGAGGGTCGACAGTGAAAGAGGGTCTACAGTGATAGAAGGTTGCCAATGACTGAAGGTTGACAGTGACAGAGGGTCGACAGTGAAAGAGGGTCTACAGTGATAGAAGGTTGCCAATGACTGAAGGTTGACAGTGACAGAGGGTCGACAGTGAAAGAGGGTCTACAGTGATAAAAGGTTGCCAATGACTGAAGGTTGACAGTGACAGAGGGTCGACAGTGAAAGAGGGTCTAAAATGATCGCTGCGTTTTACGATTGCCAACACTTCATTTTATTCATGATTTTTTTTTAATTTTGTTATGTGACACACCACTTCTTCTGAATCCAAAGACCACTCTACAATGCTACAGGATATTTTAAAATATATTTAACCCTCTCATATTCCTTAATAATTATTTATTTTAAATCATGTTGTTTTTTTTTTAAACTGTTATCGATGGCCAAAATTTTAAGTTTTTAGCAACAACTTATTTTGTAATTTTGTATCATACATGTTTACATTGCAGACGACAGATCGGTGGACGCCATAAATGTAAGTCAAACTCTATAACCGTATCAAGCTGTCATTATGTTTTATCAAGTAGATGTACCGTATTTTCTCGCGTATAGATCGCACATTTTTAAACAGACAAATAACCATGGGGTGCCACCTATCCACTCGACATCACCGGGACCTGCAGCCCCTTGAGCTTCAGCACTGTCGAAAGCAAGAGCAGCAGAGAAAAATAATTTCACACGACAGCTCAATTTTACGCAATCCCGTCTTCCAGGGTATAGCATTACATTTATGACCAAAGCACGCTATCTGATCTGCTCGTATGTACCATTATCTTTTTATCTGATTTACGACGAAATACTACCATTTTCACGTGATGTAAGGGGAATTTAATGTTGTTGTTGTTGTTGTTGCTGCTGCCGATGTGGGTGTTGTTGTTGTTGTTGCTGTTGTTGTTTTTGCTGTTGTTGTTGTTTTGAAAGACTTTCATTCGACTCGCATTGCCACATGGTTTGTCCATCGTGTTTTTTTTTTTAAACACACGTGGGACGTGACCCTCTTGTCCGGTGGATGCATAGTATTCCCAGTGGTAAACTGTAAGGTTGCAACTAAGTAAGCTGATGGCACAGAGTTACACCTCCTTTATGGTGGGTCGAGGAAAATGTGTGGGGGGGGGGGTTGGAGGATTGGGGTGGTGAGCGATGGGGAAATAAGAAAGGTGTTTAAACAACATAACAACAACCCTACAATAACCATCGAGTACATTAACCATCGGTTCTGATGGTAGGGTGCCTGGATGGGATGGATCAAGGTGTTGGGGCCGGGGCATTTCGGCACGTTTCGTGGCTGGCTGACAAAAACTTTGGGTGGCTAATTGATCCACTTCCCGTCAACCTATCGAGCTGAAGCTTGGTGCGTGGGCTTATTGCCAATGACAACACATTCCATCAAATTGTCAGTCTCACTCCTAAACCCCAGAAAATCCGGTTTTTTTCAACGTTTTCCAAGGGGAAGATGAAGGAAATATGATGACACTGATTACACGAAATAAAATTCCCGATAACTGCGCTAAATAAGATGTGTTAACATGTCACAAGTGCGTTCGGTGCGTAATATTTTCTTTTGTTTTTCTGAAATAGTTTGTGAAATAAATCGGCAGTTTAAAAGTGGTTGGGGCTTTAGAATATTGATATAAAATAATAAAAAATGTATATTAAAGATTTATTATACCAAAAACTTTGTTTTTAATAAATACTTTGTGCTCGAATTTGTATTTTTTATAGAAATTTTGTTGTATAATTTAATTAACTATTTTTATTATCACTATATTTGGTATCGTTTCCTATGAATACTGTTTTTTTTCCTCAGACCTTTGTTTATGTATTGTTTATTATACAAGCCAAATCTTAACACAGATTAAATCTGCAAAACCATAACAGTACGCTACAAACAACCTCGGCTGGTAGTGACTGCTTTTTTTTAATGTAATAAATTAAATTAACCATCTCCGCCGATTACAGCTTTGTCAAAGTGCCAATAAAATGAAGAACTCGTTAATCCTCTAAAAGATTTTTTTTTAAAGAAATGTACATGTATATTTTCCAGGATATCAGACCAGGCAGACAAGGAAAGACAACATCGGACGACATGTCAAGTAGAATAACTCTGATGTCACAAGCGTGTGCGTCACACTGGTCCTACAACCTGGGACCCAAACTCTACACGGTTTCATTCTACTCGGACGCGGAGAAGAACCTCATGTACTGCCACGTCCCTAAAGCTGGGTGCACGTTCTGGGGCCGTATATTTAGCTTTCTGACCCGCCCCGGCGATATGTCACAAATGAAAATTGGCTCGCCATTTGATATAGATCGCGTGAAACTCCACAACGGTCCGCTAAGGCCGGCTGGACAACCCGAGTGGAACTTGGCTAAAAACGAGATCAGGGAGAACACCGTCAAATTTTTCTTCGTCAGAGATCCGTACGCTCGTCTTTGGAGCGTTTACCTAGATAAATACTATTTACCCGATTTCTGGAATCGTCTCGAGATTTCCCGTAATCTTTGTCTCCTGAATATTACATTTCCGGAATTCCTGGCTTTTGCAGTGACGTCAAGCGACGGTCACATGTTTCCCGCGGCGGTGGTGTGCAATCCTTGTGAGTTCCGACCGCAGTACATCGGCAAGGTGGAAACGTTTTTTCGAGATTCCAAATTTATATTAGACAAAGGGCGAATGGGAAGCTTACTGGATAACTACAGCTTTACAAATTACACCGAGCTAGAGCTCAAATCGATCATCTCAAACTACTTCTGGTATTACACGGAGTTCAAGCTAAGTCAGTGTTTTACCGAGAAGGACCTCTGTCGTAGAATGTGGCGCGTCTTTCAGAGTAACGGCCACATCCGTTCGACGTTGGGATTTCCCGAAAACTTGCCCGTCTACAACGAAGAGACGTTTCTCGACCATGTTTTACAAACTGTACGGAGTCAGGGCATGAGCAGAGCCGAAGCCTCGAAGCAGAGACGGCAATATCTTGTAGACGCATATAAGAATGTATCACGTGCCCACATTTTAGCCATAAAAGAAAGATTCAAACCTGATTTTGAAATGTTCGATTATGATAAGCATCCACCAGCATAACATTTTATTTTAAACTAATTTTAATGTTAACGGAGAACAAAAATATTTACGATAGAAGTACAGGCAAGGGGCCGTCCATAAAATACGTCACGCTCCAGAGGGGGGATGGGGTTTAAGAAAGTGTGACAGTTTGTGACAAGGGGGGGGGGTCCAGGCCATGAGTGACGTCACACATTTATTTATTTTTAATTTTATTTCTAATTTATTTTTTTATTTTTTTAGTAGAATTTAATAGCTTAAAAATAATTTTCAAAAATTTTGTGAAACATTTGAATTAGTTTTATGTCAAAATAGCATGAAATGCGTATCTCCTGAATGTGTTGTTCACGATTCCCCTCGCTAGGAGCGCTAGTATGCTGTTTCGAAGCCTTGTTTTATGTATAGCCTTGCCGAGATCAACAGGAGTTTTCAAAGTAAAAACTATATGATCTTTATTGTCCATCTTTGCAGGCGAGCTGACTTGATCGAATTTGCAAAGTAATGTCACTTATAATTTGCCTCACAAACAATGTCAAAGGAACATGCAGGACAACACAGAGCTCGGGCTCGGGAGAATGTGCCAACCCAAACTTTCCAGAATCAACTCAGATAAAACGCATCCGTTCTTTGAGAATCGCTGCTAGAAGGCAAAGAGAACTCATGACAGTTATTGCCAGAAGAGAGAATGCACATTCAGAGAATGTTGAGTGGCTAGATGAGGATGAAGTGGATCTGTCTGCAATTATCCTTCCAGGAAACGATGATGGTGAAAGATTGACGCCAGTCGTAACTATGGATAACACTTCACTTCACCAATGATGGATGATGTCCAGTGAATATTTTTTAATTAAACATAATTCAAAGGCCCATAATAAACAGATTCAATATAGCACAAGAGTTTGTCACATAATTTGTCAATCTAGTCTTTTTTTAGTCAAAATTGTTTTTTGTTTCCTTGTTATTATTTAATCACTGAGTGAGGTCAAGTTTGCTAATTTACTTCTTATCCTGTGTAATAAGATTGCATAATCGGAAATTATCTAAAACTTGACCTCACCTTTTGTAAATGAAAAGGCAGCAGATAAATGATGTGTATTATATAACTGTCTAGTCTAATATTTGCAATTTTTGTTTTCAAATTCAATCTAGATTGAGTTACTGCTTCAATGAATAACTGTGACAACTATTGACAATTAACTATTCTACTATTCAAGTAATTTTAATAATGTGATAGTTCTTTTAAGTGGAAATTTTATATTTAAATAGTGAAGTGTGTTTTAGATTAAATTTTAATTAGGAGTTAATTTTTTAAAATTTTGTTCGAAAGTGTGTGTGATAGTTTGTGACAGGGGAGGGGGGTAAAAATGATCAAATATAGCGTGGCGTACTTTATGGACGGCCCCTAAGGAATTACACAATGCTATCACTTTAACCTAATCTTTTATGTATGCATTTGTTTGGATTAGACCAGTGCTTCCGACCCACACCTCTCCATGCCCCACCCCCTCAAAAAATTGTGGTACAGCTTTATGGGATATCCCTATTCCCGGAAACAAAGGACGCAGGAAAACAACGAATGTATCGATAAGATGTCTTCGTCAGCCAACAGACGAGTATCACAATATATAAAAATAAATACTTCCCTGAAAAGTCGTATCCGACAGGATGGCAGAAAAACAATGTATTACCTTTTGCCCATTCCGGATGGTCAGGAGCCGAAATGTAAAAAAAACAAAGAAATACCACCATCTATATAGGCATTGTAGACCAACTACGGAGTTTTTCAGGGAGGGGAGGAGGGGGGTAACTGGGTGGGGTGTCGAAGGCAAAAACTTGGGTCACCCAGTGTGGAACTAATCCTAGCTACGCCACCGGTGTGAATAGCTGAAATATAAATCCACATAAATATATTAACTATGGGTTAAATGGTTTTAGTCTAGCAGCTGTATGTGTTGACAAATTGTTTGACGGGCCAATCACTGAAAGCTCTGTTCGATTGAAAGGCTAAGCGCAAATGAACACATCTTTGTTCCGTGAGATTGTTTGTGATTTTGTTTTCAAAAACATCCAGTTGTTAATTTGTTTAGCTACCTAATAAGTGGAGAAAATACCAAGCAAGAGCGGAAATAGATTAACTTCTAAGTATTTGTAAATTCCACAAATGATCTCATTCTATTTAACAAATGTATCTTTTTTTTTTTTTTTGAGTTTGGTCATGTATAGGGGCCTACATGAGACAATAGGGTTTAAATCTGGAAATGTAGGCATTTTTAATAAAAATGTAAATTATTAAAATATTTTAAGCATAATGCCAAAAGACAATTTATAATCAACGCATATCCCTACGTTTAAATCTGGAAATGTAGGCATTTTTAATAAAAATGTAAATTATTAAAATATTTTAAGCATAATGCCAAAAGACAATTTATAATCAACGCATATCCCTACGTTTAAATCTGGAAATGTAGGCATTTTTAATAAAAATGTAAATTATTAAAATATTTTCAGCATAATGCCAAAAGACAATTTATAATCAACGCATATCCCTACGTTAAAACTCATGTTTTATGATGAAATATAATTGGAAAACAGAATGCAGATGTTTGATACTTAGCAAGTACTATATTAAAATGATATGCTTTTGTAATGATGTAAGTTAATTTAATAACATGTTATTAAAGTCTTTAAACTTACAAAGTTACCCAACAATTAAACAAAAATATCAAAAATATGCGAACGGCATGTAAACCTTTGCTTTTAATCTGGAACGGCAAGTATCGTAACAGTACGATACTTACAATCGAATAGTGTAGGCTTCCAATAATATTAGCCTTAAATTTACCGATCATCAAATATATCAAGCATAGAAATATTCCCTATGTTCCACTAATTATAATCAGTTCATTGCAACAGTTGCTATTCTTTTTCAAATGTTTTAACGAAACAACCGTCTAAAAAAAAAAGTGTTTCGTGTAAATCATTTATATGCATTTTATTATTTTATTTTATATTCATATTCCAATGACCCATCCGCTTTTACACCCGCTTCTTCTACATAAGCTCCGCCACTACGGCATTACCGGCAGCCTTCACTCCTGGCTCACAACATTCCTAACACAACGTACCATGCAAGTGGTGGTAGATGGCGTCAAATCAGCGAAAGCCACCGTAGACTCAGGGGCTCCACAAGGCACAGTGCCGGGCCCTCTTCTCTTTCTCTGCCACATTAACGACCTACCCGATACAGTAAATTCTCAAGTGAGGCTGTTCGCTGACGACTGTCTCATCTACAGAGAGATAAACTGCAACGATGACCACAACCACCTCCAAACAGAGTTGAAGTGCCTTTTGAATTGGGCGAACACATGGGCATGAAATTTAATGAAAATAAATGCTACGCTATGACAATCTCAAGAAAAAAAACATCAACTCATATTTACTCACTAAACGAGACAATCCTCCAACTAGTATCCAATAGTCCATACCTTGGAATTCTCTTCTCCGATAACCTAAAATGGTCACCCCATAAACAAAATTTCAAAAAAAGCCAACTCCACCCTAGGTTTCATCCGAAGAAATCTGCGCCACTGTCCAACTTCCTGCAAACTGAATGCCTATCTAGCACTCGTCCGTCCACTACTGGAATATGATGCGATCATCTGGGACCCACACCTTAAGCAAGACGTGGACACGATGGAGCCAATTCAACGAAACGCGGTGCGTTTTATCGCTCGCGACTACAAATCCATCTTCCTGGCTTCGTCACTGGCCTCTTAAAAAGATTTGACATCCCTCCCCTTAAAGACAGACGAGAGGGACTCCGCCAGACATTCTTATATAAAGTGATCATGGGACTGGTGCCGGCCATCCAAGCAGGCACATACCTCACCCCCACAGAAGCCGGGTAGACTGATCAGAGCAAAACGCTCACTGAACACTGATTTCACCACTGACATTCCCATAAACAATTACACCAGAAACAAGAGCAAATGCTTCAAAGTGCCTCAGTGCAAAACAGTGCAGTATCAACAAACTTTCTTTCCACGAACAATAATAGTATGGAACAACCTGAACGATACAACTGTGAACTCGACATCAGTCGAAAGCCTCCAGGCTGCCCTGGCATTAGCTAGGAGCTATTAGTATAGCAACATCATACCCCCAACCGTTGCAAAAATGCCAGTACATGGATGCAGCAACGAAACATTACCAGAACCAGAACCGCAGATTTATTTCACCAACTATTTCAGAAAAAAATAAAGGAAATATTACGCATTACGAATTACGAATATTCTATTCGCTCCAGCCATCTAGTTCCAGACAATTTCATTACCTATTTACTCTGCTGGGGAAATTGTAATAACTGAAACACACAAAGCTGTGTCAGAAAACGAGAGTGTGTGATTCACCACACAGATCCCAGGCTATGGAATATTAAGAACACTTGTACAGTTGAGTACTGGATTCGCCGTGAGCCACCATTTTGTCAGAATCATGGCTGCAACCTTTCAAACTCAGGCAGAGCTGGAGAAGAAAGAACTAAGACAAGGTATTTATCAAGAAATATGTTCAAACGTGACCTGCGGCATGGCGAGTGTGTAAAACTCGAATGGCTTCTCTATTCACCACACCAATGTTGTTTGTATTGTTTTGCGTGTCGTCTATTGTGCAAAAAAAGTATTTCCCTTTGCTATATCAGGATTCAATTATTGGAAACATAACAATATTATTGTAGAGCATGAAAACGGAGAAGTGCATTGCAAGGATATGACCGCATATTTGCTTCGACTGAAAGAAGCTAGGTGTTTAGGTCCTTTATTAATCAAAGACCATAGGTCAAAACAGAAGTTCTGGCCTAAAGTTCTGACTCGTTGGGTTTATGTCGTTGGCTTTCTTGCCTCCAGAGGTTTGGGTCAAACTATTGGGTCAGTAAGCAATGGAAATTGTTTTGGTATTTTAGAGCTGTTGAGCGAATGTAATCATTTTTTTTTCTTTTTTTTTTTTTGGGGGGGGGGCATCTCAAAATATAATGGAAATGCTGGAAAGGGTAACACATCATATCTGGAATCTGTCACCAAATATTTGAGAATAATTTATTTAGGTTTGGGTCAAACTATTGGGTCAGTAAGCAATGGAAATTGTTTTGGTATTTTAGAGCTGTTGAGCGAATGTAATCATTTTTTTTTCTTTTTTTTTTTTTGGGGGAGGAGCATCTCAAAATATAATGGAAATGCTGGAAAGGGTAACACATCATATCTGGAATCTGTCACCAAATATTTGAGAATAATTTATTGATCTAATGGGACAACATGTCCTTTGTCCTATTCTGGAAGAAATTACAGAGTCAAAGTATTATTCATTAAGTTATGATTCCACTACATACATTTCTCACATTGATCAACTGACATTTACGGTCCGGTACATTCGAGGATGTAAGTCTGTGGAACGTTTTATCAAGTTAATTTCCATATTTTCCAATGGAGCAAAGGATCTAACAGACACTGTTTTGTATCAACGGATCTAGCAGACAATGTTTTGGATTTCCTGAATGAGAACAAAACTCCGCCTTCAATTTGCCGTGGTCAGTCGTATAACAAAGCTTTAAATTTATATCTATGGACGCTACACTGTATTGCAAGCACGGCTGCGTCAATTGAACGAGTTTGCCGTGTATGCCCCTTGTGCTGGACACAGTCTGAACTTAGTGGACTTAAAAGCAGCAGAGTGTTGTCTACAAGTTGGATGACTTTGACTTTCTTCAGCGCCTATATACCCTTTTCTCAGCTTCTACACATCGATGGAATGTTCTGGTATCTTCCTTAGGAAAATCTCTCGTTGTCGTAAAGCATCTGTCTGACACAAGATGGTCGGCACATTTTGATACCGTCAACGTTTCGAAAAAAATACAAGATGCTCTGGACTCTGTATCAGCAGAAACTGATCATAAAAAGAAAAAAAGAGGCATGAGGCAGAATCTAAGTAATAAAATGGATAACCTGATAATTTATCATCATCTGAGATGAATTATAATGTATTTCTGATGTTTTAAAACCATTATTGAATTGGAATGATTTTGTTTTTGAATAAATGAGTTGAATTAACCTATTTTTTAAACTTTATTGAAAGTTTATTCTTATTTACAATTTTATTCCTTTTGGTGAGTTGGGTTGGGAGCAACAACTGTTTGCACACACCCCCCCCCCCAATTTTTTAGCATGGGGCGAGTGCCCCACTTTGCCCCCCCCCAACGACCCTGGTGTGTTGTGTTGCTGGGGGCCCCAGTGCATTGCTGTGCCCAGGGCCCCCTATGTTCTTAAGACGGCCCTGGGTGGCCCTCCAACTGAGTAGTTATATGATTAGCGCACCTACATTTCTTTCTCTCGTGTTGGCCGATCCGTCCGTGAAAACTTTATGCATAAACTCAAATGATAATAAATACCGCCTCTGTTTTTTTTGTTTTTTTTTCATTTCTTTTATTTTGTCAAGTAGTCTTACATACCGGAAATTTCCGTTAAGGGATTGAACTCTTAATATTTACCATGGCGACTGGAGGGGAAGGAGTTACAGTATGGTATCAGAGAGAAATTACTATTCAGGCAAAAAGAAGAGGTTGTCATTATATATCAGATGATATACTCAAAGCCTGCAAAGAGGAGCTGAGTAAAATAAAAGTAGGCGTTGCAAATATCCATAGTAAGTTTAGAAGCCTAGAGCTAAATGGTTTCTTATTTGTTCTTATTTCTCTGTCACTGTCATACACCTCGACCTCACATACTACTGCTACTGATGACGAGTAGCCTACTCATCATACTCATACTGAAGTGATACTCAGCTAAAACTGAGTCATACTGAGACTGTGGTGATTGATACTATCCATCTCATACACTACACTACACTATTGACTACATACTAGATTGTCTTAGATACAGTCAGTAGTTGATACTAATACTAATAATGATACATAATTGAATATAATACTAACTAATACTATAATTTATAATACATGAAGTCACTATTTTTTAAATTTAGTATATCTATCTCACACCTGGATTGTCCATTATTAATTATTATCATGGCATGATTCATGTCGTCATGGTTTTTCATAACTTAGCTAAGTAAAGTAGTGTTAGTTTAGGCTAAGTGGACATACACATTTTATAAACATACAGGGACTGTTATTTTAAATCATTAAATGTATAAGTATTGTATAGATAAAGTAAAAGGGTGTGCTAGTGAAACTTACAGTGAAAATATAAGAATAACAATGTTACCTGTCTTACTTTTACTTTTACAGTAAAACACACATCTGCAAGTATAATTTTAAATGAGGTTTGTGGATTTATTGTTTGTACCACTGTAGGCTTACCTATATTTTTTATCAAGTTTTTTAAAATCTTGTTTGCAAGAAAAAGTGGCATGAATTGTTTTTTAATTTGTTTTTTAGTATAAACTTTTTTTTGTTTAAAGTTAAGAAAAGTGTAGGAAAAAATTGTTTAACGGCACAAAACATTTTATTTATTTTAAAATATCTTAAAATGTTGACTTATTAGTGCAGCAGCTGTATACATCCCCCAGGGAAGATGGGGATACTAGAATAGTAAAGCTTTCTGAACTACTACTTGGAACTAACAATAAATATGGTGCTCTCCATTGGCCAACCATAGTTTTTGTGGTTGTGAAGATATTTTAATACCCTACTGTAGTATTATTATACTGTGTTAGCCAAATTGAAACTCACATCACAAATAATATATTCTTGAAGAAGGTTTTTTATCTCTAAAGAGTCCAATAACTTTTAGACTTAACGTTTGGGTGGACAGTAAAACAAATGCCTTAAAATGATTATCTTCTTAGATATTTTGCTATATTAATCATCATGTTTTCATAAATCAATATTTTAAGCTTGATTTTTACTCTTTATTTAAGCATTGGCAATGTAAATGATATGTTCAGAATTTTCTTTACAGAAATATGTTGTATTTTATTTACTTCACAAATCGCAGCTAGTAAATATTCACACTAATTATTCACTCTTTAATATTCCAGAACTATGATCCTACTGTTTTGTAAGTATTCTCTAATTGTATTGTAAGTAAAGTTATTTGAGTAGATTATCTTTTAATATTTTTTCTAAATGGACAATTTTAAATTTATTTTACATGTGCAAAGGTCGTATCTTTTAATACAAGATGTTTTGATTTAATTTTTTTCAGAACCGACATGGAAATGGTTTTAAATAAACTTGCACCTGAGGTACAAAATTTTTGTTAAAATGTTTCTGGAAAATATTTTACATGTTATTCATTTTTAAAATCAAAATTTTTATTTGAGAGTTGTGGGTAATATGAAGTGTTTTACCAATTGCATTGTTTTAGGTGGAATACCTATCAAAATTATGTGATCTATGTAATTGTTTGCCCTAGATGTCACTTTTGTTATATAGGTGAGACAGGAAGAAAGCTGTCAGATAGTGATAGTCCAGTGAACACCATCAAAATACTGAACAAAGCTTCCACTTAATTTTCTTGTCTATTATTTTTAAACCTAAACATATCTTTTTCAACTATTTATTTACTTTACATGGTTTTAAAAAGTCGAAAAATTATCAAAAGGTTAGCCCTTTGTTTCAGCTCATCATTTTAATACATTTTTCTTACAAGAGTGTCTCCATTTTTTCAAAGTCATTGAGGGTTTACTTCTGAAAATGTCATTTTCATTCTGTGAAGCTGAAAATATCTCTTTTTAAATAATTTTCCTAAAAATCCCAGTACTCTTGCACTTCTTAATTTGGTAGTGTAAGGATTTTTCTAAGCTTTTATGTATTCTGATTAATACTTATGGCTTTGATCTGTCAATACACTTTATTAGTGTGAAACTTCCCTATATGTTAATAGTGTTCATTACCAATACTCTTGTCATCTTTTTTTTTCAGAACCTGAACTACAAGCATACTTTGGAAGGCCCAGATGACATGGTAGGTTTATTATTTGAATTTGAGTTAATAAGAGGGCCTAAAGTAAAACAAAACAAGTTAATACACAAAAAAGACCTGTTATTTAAAAATAATTTTTTTTATACATTTGGTTTAAGTCTTTATTCATGCTATGATTTATAAAAAGATCAGTTTAATATTCTTTGAAAAATGGATTCAATGTTTATGTTCTCATTATCTGTACAAGCAACAAAGGTTATTCCTATTTTTAAAACCTTTATATTAACTCCGCTTTTGTTAGTGGCTGGGTGGCAAAATCTTTGGCCCACTTTCCATCAAGCTATCGAGCTGAATGAAACTTGATACATAGACTCTTTGCCAATGACAACACATTCTAAAAAAATTTCATGCCCAGCCCCCAAAATTCCATTTTTCCTGCTTTTTAAGGGGAAGATAAAATGAAATTCCTGATAACTGTGCTAATGAGATTCTTAAATATAACAAAATCCAAGTGCGTTTGGTGCATAATATTTTCTTTTGTTTTTTCTGAAATAGCTGGTGAATTTAATCTGCTATGTAAAAGTGGGTGGGTCATTAGAATATTAATATATATAGTTCAGTGGCATAAAAAAATGTGCATTTGCAAGCCTTGGGGGAGGGGGGGGGGCACTAATTGGGATTCATATTAAGCGCATTACTTAAACGCATGTTTTGTCAAATTTTTATCCCCACCCCCATTGCTTGATATTACATTTTATAAAGGATTTATACAAAAAAACTTTGTTTTTAGGGGTTGTTTAATTTATTATGTTACTTATTCCTACTGTTTTTTTTTACTGCAGCCAGCGCATGCAAAAGCTGCGATTATGGGAAGCAGTGTGAGCGTTCCTATTACAAATGGACAGTTTAACTTGGGGACCTGGCAAGGTGTTTGGTTATGTGAGCACAGAGACAGTGGAGGTATAGTGGACATTTATTGTTTTATGAACTGTTGTTAGAAATTGTGAACTAGCTGAAGGGAATTTAAGTTTCAATGAGTCATCATTTTATTTGAACAGAGAAAACTGATCAACAATAACTTTCATTTCTTTTAAGGATCAAGAAAGCTTGTTGTGACAATAAATGGTTTAAAAAAGTGACAGAGTGGATAGAGACAAAGTTTCGTATCCAAGCAACATGGTATTGAGGCATTTGAAGTATGAGAATGTAATACAAGGTTACACACGTTAGTATGAAACTTGAAATTTACAACCTACCTTTGTTAATGGAATGCCACATTAAAACTATTTAACAGTTAACTTTGTGCATATATTTGTACTAACCACTGTGTTAGAAGTGGAGTAAAGACTATTCCACAAACAAATAAAGATTATTCATTTGTAGTTGAGATGATGCAATTACTCATTTAGGTTTGCTGTAATTGTAATATTGTATAGTTCATTTCCTCTACCACTCACTGAAGCATCAAGCTTTTATATTAAGAACTTCTTCATAACGTCATGTGAAAATATGGAGTATTAATAAAAATCTAATTACATATTATAGTTAACCTCTAAATGTGTGAATCCAAGTTATTCAAAATTATTTTTGCCATTTTTTATTAAAGATCTAGGGTTCCCTAATATCCTTGATAAGTATATTTAAAATGAATTACTGGAAAATGCAATTTTATCACGATATATTAAAATATTTGAAAATTCTGTGCCAAATTGAAACTAAAAATGCATTTCAATTTTATTGACAATGCCAAATCCTTGCACATGTGCATCAATAAAAATTAATAAAAGTTTTTAAAAAGTTTAATTTAAATTTTTTCATCCGTCATTTGAGTGGCTAAGTTAAAGAGATATGCACTTGCATTTACAGGTGGGTATATTATATATATTATAAAAAACACTGGTATATTTAATTTGTAACTACTAGGAATTCTCAAAGAAATAGTGTAAGATATGTTAGGGCTTAAATAAAAAATGCAATTAAATGGACATTTTGGCTAGATTCATTTTTCAGCAGACAATACAATAAATTAAATCAGTTAAATCATAATATCGTCCTACTGATACTTTTTTTTTCTTTACATTAATATTAGTACAATCATTTTCAAGGCCATATGATGTTTTAATCATGTTTGTCACGTTATTAAGTCTTTCTGTCCTCAGTAAAAAATATTTAACGAGCCAACACAATTAGAGAGAGTAACAATAAGGATACGATGAGATCTGCTATAGTAATTATAGCTGATATTATATGTTATGATTTACAATGGTGTAACCTGTCCTATCATTATTTTAACTGTTATTTGCATGAAAATGTTTGTTGTTTTTATATGCAGATTTGAAATGAAAGAAAATTTAACTTGTGTAAGAAATTGTGACAGTTTTACAAGCATCTATATTAACTTTTGAAGCATAAAAATAATATAAAAAACAATGAAAGCTTTCTGGGTTTGTTTTTTTTAAGTTTATTATTTACAAAGTAATAAGAAATTATTGCGACACAAGCAAAAGAAATATTAACAAACACATGCAGTCTTCTCCTAGAGACAAAACAAATTGCAATATTTTGTTTTGATTGTCTGATAAAGACAGCAACTGTAAGCCCAATTCCCAAAGTTCTTTCAGGATTTCAAAAAATTGATAGCTAAAAGCATGATGTATTCAAAATGTTTAAGATTAAATTGGAAGACAGCATTAAACTGTGACCCTGCACCTTCTAGTTCATTGATCTTCAAATAAATATTTTTAAAAAGAACTGCCTAGATATTTTGCCATTTTTTACATCTCCTTACTTATTGTAAATTTCGAGTAGATTTTAAAAGATTTGGGTCAAAGCATCAATGAACTCATTTTTTGAGTACATGTAGCTTTAACACCACTAAACATAGTAATTATCAATAATTTATTTAAAATTATGTAATGAAGATTACATAAATTTTCCTATATTGCACTAGAACATACAACAATTTTGTTTTAAACAGCAAAAGACAGGCATTTAAAAAAAGGGGTTAACTACATAATTTAAAAAAACTGCATTAGTATTATCCGAGTCATGAACACCAAATAAAAGACTACATCACAAGTACAACAATGTCATATTATTTTATTCAAGTTTTCTTTTTTTCAGCTCAAGATGTGACAAATACAAATCTCTTAACATTCACAGCCTAAAAATTCATTTTACACATAGTTTTAAATCTCAAAATTTTAAAAAAAGGAAAATCATTACCGAATAATTTTTTTATAATATTTTTAAAAAATACTTTGAGAATGCATTACATGTATAAATTTGAAACCCAGAGAGTACAAATTTCAAGACAAGACTAGATGCAGAAAATTCTAAGCCAAAAATAATCAGTACAGGCTGTGTAAGTTTCAGTATCAATCATGACTAACAACTGCTCAACACAATTAAAACACCAAATAGACATAACTTTGCAAAGACAAAATATATTTTACTCAATAAACTTTTCTATCCAGCAGAAAATATTTCCTCATATTATCTTGTTTTCTTTTTTTTTTACACTTACATAAGCTTTGACTTTCACTTACAGTAGGTGAATACCGGTACATAAAATGTGCAACGAAAGACACTTAAGAAGCCTCAAAATAAGTCATAAAGATCACCATCAACCCAGAGCTCACAATATAGTCGATTACAAGGATGAGATTTCAGGGGTTCTACTTAATTCAAATTAAGGTACTACAGATACATTCACAATAAAACTCTAAAGAAAAGGGTATCATAAAATGCTCATAGTTTAGAGGTCTATGAGAGTAATATTGGTCACAGATAAATTGTAACAATGGAATCTTGCTGCTTTCAGCAAACTGATTTTTTAATAGAATTGAGTTTAATATTTAAGTACCAAAAGGGCATTAAGATTTTGAAAAAGTCCCTTCATCTCTTACTTACATACTTTGCATGTATTTTTTAGCTGCAATTAAACTGTCCACAACACTTAACCCCTTTAATACAGCAAGATTTAAAATCAAAATTACTTAGTTAAATTTATTTTCCAGTAAATAAAACGTATGAACAAAGCATGGGCACTTATTTTAATACAATTTTATAGGTATGTCTGTGTGGCATAATAGAACCATATTCCAGTACATGTGACTGGCTTGCTTGGGCACTTCAGTAGTAGCCCCCATACTATTATTTTTACCATTAAATAAATAAATTTAATAAAGTTTTCGTGGTTTATTAAAAAAAACTATTTCTAAAAATTATCCTGAACTTTTTGAGGGCAACCCATCTTAAACTTCTTATTCTTTTACCTGATCACATTAATGAAGTATCTAAACTTGGAGAATGTTTGTAATTCATTTCTGATACAGAAAAAAAATCAATCTGAGAAGTAATGTTAACACTAGTTGTATTTTGTATGGGGCAGCTAAAATAAGTAATTTCAACTACTTCTTTATGTTGGATAATCAACATTATCTCTTTTACCATGATGTTCTTGAAACAGCATATGCCCAAAATTGAGACCTTTCAGGAAATACCATACATAAATCTTCTGACAGTTAAGAGCTCAAAGGGCCAAAAGTTCTCATTTTTGTTAAAAAGACTATTTGAAATGATAAAACATTATTATGTACCCATATATTTAAAATGTGGCCTTGGTTTTGGGTATTTTATGTATATTTTATTTAGTAGGCTTGACCATGAGAAAAGGAAGAAAAAAAAATGCAACTGGTTTACTTGTTTAGATAACTTTAAAGTTTAAAGTATAACAAGCACTGTGAAATTTCTACTCCCTGAATGGTACTTTAATTTAACTTTCAGTTCCATCTCATTTTGAGTAATTTTCTTTTCTCAACTTGAGAACTTTAATTATTGTATATGCAAAATTTTAAAATACATTAAATGAATCTAAAACGTCTTCCTGTGTAGGGCCTTGACACCATCCTCATGATATTCCCTCTTTGACACCCACATTTTACGGAAAGTATCCAAGGAAGCAAGAATAGACCCTCTGGAAAACAAATAATTTTAAATGCCATAATAATTTGGGTTGTAATATTCAACATTATAAAATAAAATCTAATAATTTTTTTAAGGTTATGATGGTATCTTCACAACACTAAGAAACTGTTAGAGCAAATTAATATAGAATTCCAATTATTCCATTCAAAACCCAGCATGCATGTTTAGATTTCAGAAAAAAAAAAGTGCTCTTACCCAATCCATGTTGAATAAAGCCTTTCCTGTGGTGCTGATATCTATAAAAGTTAAAAATCAAAACTGAGTTGTTTATAAATATATAAAAATTGTACATTTCCTTGTTTATTAAGTCCTGAGTAATAAATTTTGAGCAGTGATCCGATTAGGATAGCAGACACTTTTACAAATGTTTTAGATACAAAGTTAAAATTGACCAAATTAGAAGGGAAGAAGGCAGAGAAAATAAATTCTGCTTACCCTTAATTTTACATCTCTTGGAGATAGTTTCTTCACCTCACTTAGAAGTCTGTCACCAAAGCCTGGGCAAAAGAGATCAATTATTGCTTATCTATTGAACCAAGTAAATATTAGCACTTAAAGCACATAACAAATGGTGCAATTTGTCTGCAAATTCCGCCTGATTTTAATTTGACAAAAATACCCCTTGCCCAAAAGCCAAAATAGTCATTTTGACTTACATATTTTAGCAGATCGCATTCTTTTTCTTTCTTTTTTTGGCTTAATGCTCAGTTTATTATTAGCACTGCTCAAACAGTTTTTTTTTTATTATTTCACATTTTATTTATAATTGCATTGATATTGAGATATACAAGGTGCCATAATCACAGCTGGATCATAATTAGGTAAGTTGACATTAGCATACATTAATAGGATTGTAAAAAAAAACTTGGTGGATAGAAATATTAGCATTAAATTGTGGTAATTTTTAGAAGCAAAGAGCCATTTAGTAGAAAGTACCGGTCGTTAAGATGAGTAAGCAACACTGCAATTGTTGATTGGATCTCCTTACTTTTTTTAAATTTTTAGCTATGCTCAATAACTTGTATAAGTTTGCACAAGTATAATTTCATGACATTAATACTAAGTATATTATTTATAAACCGGAACACAAAATCTAACAATAAATTGGTTAGTATAATAATAATATATAGTACGAATAAAAAGAATATTCTTTAGGGGAGGTGGTGTTTTGGGGAAAGAAAAGTATGACATGACTGTTCAAGAAAATGGCTATTAATCAAGGCACAATTAGCAAAACCGCATGAATAACTCTTACATATAATATGTATAACTGAGGCCACTAAATTCCATTTTGGTACCGTAACTAATTAATACCTTTAAAAAGAGTTGAACCACCACTAAGCACAATGTTTGAATACAATGTTTTCCTCAAGTCTAAGTCTGACTTTTGTATGGAACATGACAAGACCTCATGAATGCCTTCACACTCATCTCCTATTAGATCAGGCCTGAACAGGAGCTCCGGCGCTCGAAACCTTGCAGGTCCAATCTATAAAAGAATATTTTTCATATCATATAATTTTACATATTTCAGTTTTTTCATATATTTTCATGGTCTGTTTTTTTTTTTTTTGCCCTTTGGAAATCCTTTAAAAACGTTTTGTAATTTTTCAAATTGTCGGAGTTTAAATAATCTATAAAAGAATATTTTTCATATCATATAATTTTACATATTTCAGTTTTTTCATATATTTTCATGGTCTGTTTTTTTTTTTTTTGCCCTTGAGAAATACTTTAGAAACGTCTTGTAATATGTCAAATTGTCGGAGTTTAAAATCGTCTTAATCAGAATGTTTACTGTCTCTGTTTTTATTTAATAAGGTGAAAATGAACATGTACAAAAAGACATCTCCATTTATTTGGATCCATAAAAAGAATCTTATCTTAAATAAAATTGTGTTGTGTGTTTTTTTATAATTTATATTCACTTTGCATATTATGCCTTTTAATATCTAATACAAATACTTCATCACCACGGCTGGAAACCACTTTCAATACCACTCCTCACCATGAATAATTTATATTATAAGCTGCAGAAAAGATACATTATGGCAGATAGAACTTTGCCTTGGAGTAGGTCCACTTTTTTATGGCCACATGAGACAAGTCTAAGACTTCTTTTTCTTTCTCCTAGCCCCTACAAGGTTAATGTATAGTAAGAAGCTAAAATAACTGGTTACCGGAAATTTGATCGAAAGAAATTTCGTAGACAGTAAATTGATCGACGGTAATTTGATTGAACGGAAATTAGGTTGAATCTTTTTTTCAGTTCATATGTTAAAATTTTCGTCAAATTTCTTTTTGAACGCACTTTGCTACATAGTTAAACAAAATAATGCGTTTAAAAAAAATTTTGAAGCAAAATTTTAATGTAAAAACTGAAGAAAAAAAGATTTGACCAAATTTCTGTTCGATCAAATTACTGTTTATCAATTTACCGGTCTACGAAATTTCTTTCGATCAAATTTCCGGATACAAAAATAACCTTGAGACATTTAAAAGTTAAGAAGCCCTTTTTAATTGGCTGAGCATGCAGTCCAGATTAAAATTCTGAAGTAATTCTGGATAGAAAAATAAGTGTTCTAAAATCCTACACATCCTATACAAAAAATAATATTTTTAAAAAGTGTAACTTCACTCCTATCACCACAAATGTATTTAATATACTCTAATGTCAGGCTCACAAAATGTAGACAGCTTTTACGGCAGAGTTACCAAGCCAATGCATGGTCCTAAGTGACTAACTTCAATCATGATATAAGATGAAAACTACTCTAGTTCATTCACGTAGAAAAATACTCTCATTTGTTCACATAACACAACAAAACAAATCGTAACACAACTACAGCACATAGTCTGAGTGTGACAACCATCATAGTTCAAATTTTATATAGATTTAAAAGCAAACATTTTTGTTCTGAAGAAATGTACACATACTTACTTCCACTACATTTCTCATTTGTTCACATAACACAACAATACAAATCGTAACAGAACTACAGCACATAGTCTGAGTGTGACAACCATCATAGTTCAAATTTTATATAGATTTAAAAGCAAACATTTTTGTTCTGAAGAAATGTACACATACTTACTTCCACTACATTTCCATCAGGCAGGGCATACTGAACCTTTTCCATTTCCACACTTTCTTCCCTGAGAGGATTGATGGACAAGTAGCACACCCTCTATAAAAATGAGAAGAAAATTTATACAAATCCAATTTTTATGCTAAATTTTATAATTACTATTGTTGTTTACCATGTTTTCAAATACAATGATGCCATTCTAAATGTCCAAGATAACATTTATTACCTCTTTCAACTGTCTCACTACTTCAAACTCAGCAGAGGTATGGAAGTCAAAGCCTTCTTTCCTCAGAAGCAATTGCAAATATCTTGTAACATCCCTTCCTGCAATGTCAACTCTCATTATGCTATGTGGCATGGCAAATCCTTCATATATAGGAACAGCATGTGTAACTCCATCACCAGAATCTAAAACTACACCTGTTGTACGGCCTGTAGCATATCTGGAACAGAAACACCTTTTTTCTTAGATGAATAAAGTTACTGAAAAAAAATTGCATATTTTAGTTATTAACATACTTGCTACTTTTTTCATGTGCACCTTGAATTTGCTTTATTTATTCAGAATATTTTAATAAATTACTTTATGAATTAAAGGGCTTCTTAATTTCATTCTACTATTACTGTTATCATTTGATATAAATAACAGCATGTAAAATTGTAATTATTTTTTTCTCTTGTCAATAACATTAATGTTATCTGATCCTTTCAATTGCACACAAATAAAAGGCAATTGAGTCTGTTAAATGAAACTTAGAGGGAGAATTTTATAATCTACACTTGTTAATTTACCCTCTTTTCCTCTTATCTGGCATGTTTTTACATACAAAGTGCTCCTTGTAGGGATGAAAAAGAAAACTAAAAATTTCACTTTTATGCTCTATTTTTTAAATTTTCTTAATAACTTACAAACTCAGAACTGCCTGCATTGAAATAAATAATGCTGGAACATTGAATGTCTCAAAAAATATTTCAGCGGCTTTTTCTCTGTTTCTTTGAGGATTCAAAGGAGCCTCTGTCAGCAAAACTGGATGCTAAAGAAATATAATTTTTAAAATTTGTATTATTATCATCATAGGTGTGCTCAGTATCTTTTTACTCTTTTACTTATCATATCCATACACCGCTATTATCCAAATTTAGCCACTTAAACTTAAATGCTTCCTTCTGGTGTGCAAAATCAACAGCTCATTTTGTAATCACCATCTCTAAATTTCAATTATAGATAAATATTTTTGGATTATTTTTCAATTTACTATTAACCTTGAGAGTCAGTTATTTTACAAAATGACCAGTTCAATTGTTTAATTTTTTACATAAGCTCAATAAATTCTATTTAAAGGCCCATAATTTTTCCCATACTTATTAACTTATTGGTTCTTACTTCTTCTGAGATGGTCTGTAGTTGATCTTTTGAATAAATGTACTGCCATATTTGTTCCATGTCATTCCAGTCTTTCACAATTCCATGTTCCATGGGATATCGAATAGACAACAATCCTCTATGCTCCTATAAGTTAGTAATAAATGCTATTTTTTAGAGAATGTAATAATTTCGTTTAAAATATTAAACAATAGTTTTTAAATGGTGATGTGTTTAATCTACTTACAAATCCTTAATTATATATAAATACTATCATAGACTTATTTTAAATTATTATACAGATTAATCAAGTACAAATGCATATCTTTTATAAATCTATATGTGGAAAAAATATAAGAGTAAATATATCGTTAAACTTCATTATATTGCTCTATATATATAATTAATATAAAAAGCTAAGATATTTTTACCTCTGCTTCTGGTCCAAGAAATATATCCCCTTCAAGGGCCCCAGCCATAATTCTAACATGTTTGGGTCTTCCAATGCTTGATTTAAAAAAAACAGTGATTATTAGGCCAAGGGGTAATACCAATAGTTGCTTAACTAACACTTAATAAATGTGTAAATTTAAAGAAGATGGACAAAAATACATATACAAGATCTGACTGTATTTTTCATAGTTTCATTGAATTTTCTTTTCAATTTTCTTAATATTATAAATTTACAAAAAGTAATAAGGAAGCAAACTAAACATTTCTTTAAAAGTGGCACCATACTAAAGTGTTGCTATCTGGCTCTACAAACTTAAGTACTATTGTAGAATTGTTAAACCCTTTTAATTATTTTACAATTTTGTATGACCCAGCCACTAAAATACAAGAGGGAACCAGGAATCCCTATACAAGGCCAACAGTTAAGAACTCAGTAGGTAGTAAATTATATTCACTCCAACCCACTCGAAAGTTAGACAAATTAGTCTGCGTATGAGAACACCCAGGAATCAGTGATAAGGCAAGCAAATCTATGAACTGATTTCTTTATGACTTGTACTGGTATTTGTAATTTAGTTCATTAAGTTAGTTGAACATGTTCATTTGGCTTAAGACAATACATTACAGACACATTGACATTAACCATGTGACATTTCACTTACTAGTTAGGAAATATATACTTGGGCACTTGATCCCCAGCAAAGCCTGCTTTAATGACACCTGAACCCTAAAATGATGAATTAAAGGCATTGATTACAATGTGTATTATTTCTTAAAAAACTGAAACTGGTAATTTTATTAGCCTACTCATTTACTAGGAAACTTTTTCCATTTCCAAACTTTCTTCCCTGAGTAATCATAGTAATATGAAATAAACTAAATGACGAGGCCTTATTTCACAGGCAAAATTACTATATTAGGCTAGGCCTACTCATTTGGCCCCAGTCCTTAGGCAACATGCTCTTCTTACTATGGGCATGGCAGACTATGCCTATGCTAGTAACTACCCAGACCCAGGTCATAGATCCTTGACCCTACTGCCTACTTACTTGACTTAGTACTCATAGGCTAAACTTAGATCACTTTCACTTAGTATTAGTATCCAGTATCAGTATAGAGTTAAACTTAGAACTTAGACTTAGTTCACTTACAATTACAATATAGGGCATTTATTGTGGATAGGCTAACGTTTCGGTTATTCATTAATTTATTTATTTAAGGGCTGAGTATAGCTTTTTTTTTTTCCCTCTTAAAAAGTGACTTGGTGAGTCATCTTTCATCATAATCACACACTAACAAAATAACTGAATATTGTTGATGAAGTAATTATAAATCAAGGAAATTTATTTTTTTTTAAACAGATAACAGATTGATTTGATAGCAGTGACTGTGGAAAGTCTAGTTACATTACAACGTCTAGTGCTAGTAGGATTAGAATGGCAGATTTATTCATAATAAATCATTAGAATGTCACTGAATGTGAGAAAAGAATCGATATTATTTGCGACGGCGACAGGTGTGAATGGACTGGTCATGGAAAAAAAAATGATATAACAAAGTAAATGCAAAGGTTTGAAGAAAGACAAAAAAAAGGAACATGCACAATAATGTGATGTTGACAGCATTTAAGATGATGAGATATAGAGTACGTACATTGTCAATTACTACAGGCTGATTTGCTATGACATCATAATCCATTTCTGATTGTGACACTCCGGCTAACTAGGAAATGAGCTCCCTTCTATTCCCTGGAAGTAGAACTCTCCAGCATAAATTTAATCATTATTTCCCGGATGTAATAGAATTACATTTTGTTTCGTTTTATATATTTACTTTAATATTTTGAAAATGTATAAATGATAGAATTGGCCGGGAATCTCTATAGATTGCTTGCAGAACACGCATAATTTATACATGCATTTTTAAATTGTTATTTCGTTAAATTACATCGCAAATGATGTCGATATACCCATGATGTTATAAGATAGGCTTGCCATACCGTTACAGTCCTACAGCCTACAGTGATGCGGTCATTCAGTTTTATGGTTTAATACAACTACAGTCAGACTGTGGTTTGAAACTTTGATTACTTTGAAAATTGCATATCAACCGGGGTGCTTGCTGAACCTTGGGTGCCCCAATGATCCTACAAGGGTGCAACAAAATAAATTCTTAACTTAATGTTTAAATTAACTTTTTTTTTTAAAACATAATGTAATTTAATAACATCTAGAAACTAAGTTTTTCTTATAAATCCTTTAAAAAATAAAATAGGGCCTATCGAGCAGTGGGCGTGGGGCTGAAAATTTGTCAAAACATGCATACATTTCATACAAGTAAGGCACTTTATAAGAATCCCAATGTAGTGCCCCCCCCCGCCCCCCCCCCCCAAGACTCGCAACCGCACTTTTTGAAACTATGATATTCTAATGACCCACACGCTTGTACACTGTTTATTTAATTTCACCAACTAAACTATTTCACGCACTTGCGATTTAAAAAAAAAATCTTTTAGCGCACTTTTCGGGAATTTTATTTCGTGAACTTAGACTTAGAGTCATTATATTTCCTTCCTCTTCCCCTTAAAAACCAGGCAAAACATTTTTATTTTATTTTTTGGGGGGATGGGGTTAAAATTTGATAGAATGTGTTGTCATCGGCAACGAGTCTATGCACCAAGTTTCAGCTCGATAAGTTGACGGGAAGTGGGTCACTTAGCCGTCTGAAGATTTTGCCCGTCCGCCACCCAGCCAGCCACGATCAAAAGCGAAGTTAATATAAAGTATTCTAAAATGGACAATCTATAAATGATGTCACGCTATTTTGCCCTATTCCCCCCCCCCCACACCTCCTCACTAACGTCACACAAAAAAAAAGTTTGATCCCTTCATTGCCTTCAAATATAACATTAAAAATCTCCAGATCAGCAAGAGATGACGAAGATTTTGAAATGTCACACAGTACCACTTCTTCTTAAATTATATTCAAATATATCTAAAATTAATATAGTAATAAATAATTGTATTGTGAATTTATCTTTTGAAGATAGTTCATCTCATTGCATCAGATGTGCTGCCGTCATCTTCTTGCCGTTTCATATAATCTGCATCAAACGGACTGTTGTGTTAATTGTAGTCCTCTGCCGCCCCTCCATAAAATTTTTTTTTTTTTTTTAAGTGCCGCACCCGCATTCCCAGGCCCCTGATTCCGGTGGTCCTTGTTATACTTGTTTTCATTCGAAGAAATCTGCGCCCCTAGATCATGTTTTATATAATCTTCATCAAACGGACTTTTGTGTTTATTGTAGTCCTCTGCCGCCCCTCCATAAAATTTTTTTTTTTTTTTTAAGTGCCGCACCCGCATTCCCAGGCCACTGATTCCGGTGGTCCTTGTTATACTTGGTTTCATTCGAAGAAATCTGCGCCCCTGCCCAGCGTCCCGCAAACGAAATGCCTATCTCGCACTCGTCCGTCCGCTACTAGAGTATGATGCGATCATCTGGGACCCATACCTAAAGCAAGACGTGGACAAGATGGAGCGAATACAACGTATCGCAGTACGCTTCATCGCAAGTGACTACACATCCACCACTCCTGGCTTCTCGTCACTGACCTCTGGAGATATCACCGAGTTTTTATTTTGCCGTTGAATGAGATCATGAGATCGAATATAACGTAATAATTCAACGTTATTGAAAGATAAAAGTATCTACATCTTACAAGCATACCCATCCATCTCTTGTTGAATCCGTTGTCCAGACTTTGCGGGGTTGCATTGATGATGTAAAGTCATGGATGACACTCAGCAAGTTGAAGCTTAATGATGACAAAACGGAAGCACCCCTCATCCACAATCACACATCATCCTCTACCTCAACTCTTCCTACCTCTTCATTTCAAGTAGGTAGCTCTGACGTACGGTTTACACCCTCTGCTAGGAATCTTGGTTATATTCTTTCTAACAACATGTCTCTCGATAAACACATATCTCACATTTGTCGTTCAGCATACACCACTATCCGTCAAATCAGCTCCATACGCCACTACCTCACAGTTAGCGCTACAAAAACTCTAGTCTGTGCTCTTGTTCTCTCTCGTTTTGACTATTGCAACTCTCTTCTGTCAGGTTCACCAAAACACTGCATAGAAAAACTGCAGCAAGTTCAAAACTCAGCTGCTAGGCTAGTTTTAAAGGGAAAAAAAACGTGATCACGTCACTCCACTACTCCATTCCCTTCATTGGCTACCTATACAGGCACGCATTGACTACAAGTTGTCTGTTCTCTGTCACAACTTTTTCTTAAATGCCTGCCCTTCCTACCTAACCGAACTTCTTTATGTCTATTCACCCCTTCGACGGCTTCGCTCCTCTGCAGACACGCGTATTCTGTCCGTTTCCAAGACACACACTAAAACATATGGTGAACGATCTTTCTCTTTCTGCGCCCCCAAACAATGGAATTCTTTGTCACTACACATACGTATATACCAACCACCCAGGCCTTCAAAACTGGACTCAAAACACTTCTTTTTAAATTATACTACCCTGAGTGATTCCCCCTCCTCTGACCGATAAACGATTTTGCTGGCTGCCCTCCATGGTTTGCCTTGTAAAATTTTTGTGTTGGGGTGGGTGAATATACATTTTTTTTTCTGTTCTTTATTTCATAAATGTATTTTATTTTAATGTCATGATTATGTCTCTTTTGATAAAATTTTATGTAAAGCGTGGTGAGCCCAGCCCTAGGCTGGGGTACCGCGCTATATAAGACCCCTTATTATTATTATTATTATATAATTTAACCTTGGATACTTTAATTCAGCGGTTCTCAACCTGTGGGTCGCGACCCCTTTGGGGGTCGCACGGCCCTTTCCCAGGGGTCGCCTAAGACCACCGGAAACACATATAATCTACAGCTATAAAGTATCAACCAAAATAATTTTGAGGTTGTGGGTCGCTACAACATGAGGAACAGTATTAAAGGGTTTCGGCATTAGAAAGGTTGAGAACCACTGCTTTAATTACTTTAATTTATAAATATTCTTGTTGGATGCGCACCATTGGAAAAATTAGCATAGCGGATATTCAATTACAGTGCCAAACACATAAAAAGTGATATAAAAATAAAAACAAAAAATACGCTAACGAGACAGACAAATGCTTTTTCATGTTTCAAACTTTGGTCATTTCAGGCTACTTCAGTGCAAAATTATTAATTTTTTATTTTTTTTTTACGAGGGGCGGAGGGAATTGGAGATGGGGGTCTTATATGAAGAGTTGATTTTCAAAATGATGTTTCTCCATTTTGGGGGTTTTGAGATATTCAACTTTTTCTGCCACACAATGATGGCTCAAATTTTCAGAAAAATAATTGTTAATTTAGGAATATATTCAAAATATAGGTTAGATTATGATGAAAATTGAAATGCAAGTTAATTAAAATGCATTTTTTTAAAACTTAGTTTAAGTTCTTATTTTGTTTCAAAATGCTATGTATCCAACTATGCCAATGTTCTCGTTCTTTTTCCACTTGTGAATGAAGTTCTTTATCAATAGCTTTATAATTTTGTAATCGCAGTGATGCTTAAAACAATTAACGGTATATAATATGAATGGCATTAAACAAAGAAATACAAGATGCACATTTTCGCGAGGTAGAGCTATTTTTCTATTTTACATATAGAAAAGGGAGATGGCAGCTGACAAACGGGCTTATTTTAATGGTCATTCGGCAAATCTCAACTAATTGTGAGATTATGATTGAGGTATACATAGTGAATAAATTACTAAATTATTGCAATCTCATCATCATCATCAGTGGCGCTACAGCCCATGTAGGGCCCTGGCCTGTTCCACCACATCCTTCCATTCAGAACGATCCATGGCCTTCCTCCTCCAAGCGCGAACCCCAACTGGTGTAAATCCTCTACATCGTCGATCTATCTCAGCCTTGGCCGACTGGTGAGTCGTCTGCCCCTAGGTTTCTGCCTCGTATATCACTTTTGCTTCTCTACATTCCGGTATCCTTTCAATATATCCTGCCCAGCGTAGTGTGTCTTTTTTTTTATTCTTTTAAATTGTTGCGACCATGGGTGGGTCTTTGTGCAATTGTTATAGCTCTTGGTTTGTACTTATACTCCAGATAACATTTTCCATCACTGGGCCGTATAATTTTTCTGAGGATTTTCCTCTTCCATGTATTGAGAAGGTTCTCTGCTTTTCTGGTAAGGGTAAATAATTGGAAAGAGAGAAAATTAAATTACTTACCGAGTGGAATATATTACACAAATCCAGATTGTAATTAATTTACTTTAATCTATTATTTCGAGGGATCGCACCGAGTTTATACGCACTAGTCTCACTAGATCGCTGAATATGGACTGTTCTGCACACCTCAAAATTCTATTCCAAATTATGGTAAGCAGTAAATTCGCAGTCGCCGCCTGATCATCGACATGTCTACAAACACCTATTGCCGCCACTGCCAAGCGACCAAAGTCGCCGTCGCCGAAAAAGAGGTCTACCGATAAGCAATACTCAGACAAACCTACCACAGCCGCCTAATTGATGTCGCTGTCACGAGAAACGGATGCCATGGAAAAGAGAGAACTCGTTGCACCTACAAACGAAACGGTTGCCTTTGTGTGCAGCGACTTTTGGCTCATTTTCCTGTGCTCGAACATACGATTTATGCCGGACCGGTATGACAAACAAAATATTTTCACTAAAAATATTTTTCTTTCATGGCGCCCACATGCAATGCTTTTTCCTATTTTGGAAGAGCGTTGACGGTGTTCTAAGCACATGGTGTCCCGGGCAACTGCCCGAATTGCCGTTACCTTAGAATGACCAAACGTCCCGTAAAAACGGGATCGTACCCGGTGTCCCAAAAAAGTATCTCGGGACGCCTAAATGTCCCTTTTTAAAAACAAACACATTTCAAATCAATAAAACTTCCTAATTTATAATATAACTTCAAGTAATATTTTGACTAGCTTTGTTTTTGTAGCCAGGGACAGTAGTGATGTGGGCTCGCGTGATGGCTGCGCTGTTCCCCCTCCACCACTCTGCCGACGCTGCGTAAACAACAGTGTCCCTGCCATAGATCTTACGTCTATAGCGAAAGACACGAGGCTTGAAGCCAAGGTGGAAGGGTGGGGAGGGGGGGGGGAGTGAGCGTAACTGCGCAGAAACCAAATTTGATTCCGCTGCGTGGAATGAAGTGAAGGTAAATTTTAAAAAAAAGATTTCTAGGTATCAAAATAGTTAAAATGAACATATTTCAATAAACAGTTTCCGGCGGAGCCCCCAAACCCCTCTTTAACTGGAGGGTATCCCCCCAAATAACCCTCCTTGGACGTGTCCCGTTTTTTCCAGTTCATGATTTGGTAACTCTACGTTACCTTGAGTCGGCCCTATTCATCATCACCTCTCAGGGTGATCCAATTATATCTTACTATATTTGTAATTTCCTTAGACATCACAGCAAAGCACGGGTATTCAGCTAGTTTAATTATATAGGCTTGTTACAAATATTTCGAATTAACATGTCATTGTAAAACCTCGGAGTTTCGGGTCGACTGCAACCCCCCCCCCCCCCTGTTCCCTCCTTTTTGGATCACCCACAAAGATTGAAGCGTATATGCATAGGTCGATTATTTTGTCTCTTTATTATTAGGGCGGCAAACTCAAGGACGCCCACTGGGGACTGGGGATACACAGACTCGCTAAGTCACTGAGGAGGGGTGTGGGTGGGACAACCAAAAAGATAAATTACATTGTTAAGTGTGCTTCCGTAAAGGTTTAAAAAAAAACAAAAAAAAAACGGTTGAATGGTTATACCTATCAGTTGGTATCTGTATACGCTTAAAAAAAAAAAAAAAGATACCTTTTTGAATCCTAAAAATAAAAATTAAGGCTCTTCTAATATAAAAGACTTTAAAAATTGTACATAAAAATTATTTTAATTCTATTCATTAAACTAATTGCGCCCCTCAAAAGTGTGCACCTTGAAGCCCCAGCTAAGCTCTAGCATGCTGAAACGACCCCCCCCCCCCCCAAAAAAAAACAAAAAAAACGGCCCACCCTACTTTCGACTTGGGTGGCCCAGCCCCAGTAAGTGCTTGTTTTGGCTGTTCCATCGTTTGATGATGAATATTTTCTGCACTCTCTTCGTTCAAATTCAGAAACTTGGATTCTGTTCATATGTTGAAAGTTTAGTTGTGCCATTATAAATAAATGTTGAAACTCAAAGTTGAAAATTATATCTTTTTTAAAGAAATTTAGTCAAATTTCATTATAATGTAGGTAGGAGGGAATTTGTAGGGCAGAACAGCTAAATAAGTTTTCCAAGATGGACGACAGAGAAAGAGTTTCCAGTGTTTATTCCCCAGGAAATGTGCCTATCACTCCACCTGGACTTGAAGCTATATATTCAGCATGTCGTCGATTATATCCTGATCAACCTAATCCTCTGCAGGTTACAGCTTTGGTAAAATATTGGTAAGGATAGTCGATCCCCATTCATTAAAAATATAATATAGTTAATTTGTGTATTTATTTATTTTTTAATCTTACTCATCTGAGACGTCTGTCTTCTTACTACACTCTTGACTCTGTCTCTAGTCCTATTCTTAGATTTAATCTTAGTTAGTCTTTCAATTACTGAATTACTCTTACTCTTATTGTTTAATGTCCAGTCACTAATGACTGAGACTTAAACACTACTACATGGACTCAGACTCTAGTCTAGGGCCCCTAGCCCTACTAGGGCTAGGGCCAGGGCCTAAGGGTAAAGTTTGGGGTTAGTAGTGATAGTGCTAGGGTAGGGGCAGGGGCTATGTCACTTTGCGGAATCCCAACACTGGACTTAGAGTAAATAGACCAATCAATAACATTCCAGTTCTTTGCCGAGCATAGCATGATTGGCGCCATCAACTCAATCTGATGATCGATATGGTTAAGTTAATATGAAGTATATGATAATGATCAAAAGAAGATTGGTCATTTGTTTTTATTAAAATCAATGATACAAGGTTCAAAAGAAATGAAAAAAGAAACACACCCATCCTGATACCCCATGCCCTAATGATAACAGGTGAAAAAAAAAGATGTGTGCTAAAAGTGCTGTTTTAGTCTTTTTTTGATGGGTTGCAATTCAAAGTACCCTTATGGTATTCATTTCTATCATGTTGCCATTTAAACATAATTTTCTGGGAAGTGAAGACCCCTTACTCAAATCTTTCCCTCCACTGTCAATACAAAGATAAACAAACTAATCACTGAAACTCTCCCCCCATTGTCAAGACAAAAATAAAAACATAGAAAAAACTTCTGAAATCAGAACTCAAGTAGCCAGAAGTTGACATGGGGCAACCTTCTGACCTATATACCATGGAACACATTGCCAGCCTTACCGCTAACCCAGACTTAGCCACCTCTAGACTAGGGCAGCTAGTTAATTTAATTTAGGTTATGTTGGCCTATTAATCATTTTCAATAAATATTTTGTAATTTGTATGAGAAAAACACTGTTTCTCAACAATCTAGATTTCAATCAGTTATTTTAAATATTAATTCATTTAGGCTTGGTGGTCCTGATCCTTTGGACTACATTAGTATGTATGCAAACCCTGGTGATCCAGATCGCAATATCCCACCTCATTGGCATTACATTAGCTTTGGGCTGTCAGATCTCCATGGAGACTGTAGAGTTTATGAGTAAGTCCAGTTTGTATTTTCAAAAAATTGAACTATAGCTAAATAACTTGAAATGGTGTTCCAATCCAAATATTAAAATATTTTAAATTTAAAGAGTATAAGATATTTAAAATTCTGCATTTATTTACTACTGGTACTAGTACATAAAAAATTAATTATATCATTTTTGTACTTTAATCTTGAATACAATTTTTTAAAGACTTGGTGTCTCAGATGGTCCTAGTGGCTTTGGGTTTGAACTCACATTCAGATTGAAAAGAGAACCAGGAGAAGCAAATCCACCAACCTGGCCAGCAGCATTAATGCAAGCACTCGCTCGATATGTCTTTCAGTCAGGTGACTCAAAGTTTTTCTTTTCTACATTTTAAACAAAAAGTTAATTATTTGTGTTTTTGTTTTTAAGTTTATTTTGTACATTTCAAACTCTTTCAAAATAGAAAGAACATTTGCTTTGTAAATTTATTATTTGGTTTGATTGAAACAGAAAATGTCTTGTGCAGTGGGGATCATGTTTCCTGGCATACTCCCCTTGATGGTAGTGAATCTCGTATACAACACATGTTAATGACAGAAGATGCACAACTACAGCCCATTTCTTCAATATTAGGAGTTGTTAACTTCATTCAGGTATAAATATTTTTACATTCCTATAAAAGGTAATTGTACTGAATTTTTTTATGTAAGTGTGCTAAAATAAAAAGATTTTTTTCCCTCGCAAAATTGATTTCAATGCTAAATTACTTTTTTTTGGTCAAAACATCAAATGCATTATAAGTACATTTTAAAATTATTTTTTCATATTAAAAAGATCATCAATTAAATTTTACCAAATCCAATTAATTTGTGTCTTCAACTATTAGATTGTTGGAGTGTGTGGGGAAGAACTGAAGGCAGCACAACATTGGAATGGTCCTGGCATAATTGAACTTTTAAGATCCAAACCGTGGTAGGTAATTATTTTGACAGCTAATACAAAATCATGTTTATTTTATTCCCCACTATTGGTTGTGGTTTATATTGCATTGTTTAAGAAAAAAAATGAACATAAAACATATTTTGTATGTCACATATATAAGACGAGAATTTTAAAATTCTTTTACTTAAATAGTTTTTAAAAAAATGCTTGTGCCAAAGTTGTTTTTAAGAAACCCTAAGGTATCATGTGCTAGAAAAACCTAAAAAAGCCAGTAACTGTTATTTTGGCATGCTGTAGTCTTAGCAGATGCAATACTGATGCTAAGAGAATTTTCATCTAAAAGAGTAAAACCTTAACACAAGGTTGGATGCATTCATTTTTTGCTTTTCTAAAAATATTTTTTTTAAAAATGGAATTCAAGTTATTAGCAATTTAAGGTTAAAATTATTTTAAGATGTTAAAAAATGAATGTTTGGAAGTAAAGATTGCTGAAAAAACATTCTTCATGTCATGAAAATATATGAATAACATTATATTTTTAAGTGCCGGGGGACCATGGCTAGTGACAGATATGAGGAGAGGTGAAACCATTTTTGAATTGGATCCACATTTAAAAGTGAGTTTCTTTTTAACTTCTCAGTGATGTGTACTAAAAATAAGTTTAGAAAAAATTAAATTTCAAAATCTATTTCAATTGGTTTTAATCAAATTAACTTGATGATTCCAATGATACATTTTGATAAATATTTTAACTTCATGAGAAATTAAATATGAACTGATAAAAAAAATTAAAGTTAAGAATCTTACGTTATTTCAAGATACTAATTTATGACTGGTTTAACTAGATTTTATTTAAAGTTAATGTCCTTGTTTTGAAGGAGAGGCTGGACCAAGGCATTGAGCAAGAAGGTTCAAACCTCAGTGGGGTTAGTGCTTGGTGTTCATGGGATGAACCTGGTGAACATGACAACCGTAGTTCTGATAGTGATGATGATAAAGAAAACAAAAAAGATGAAGATGAAAATGAAAGAGATTTGAGAAGATGCAGCGCTGAAACAGAGAGAAGAACAATTTCTCAATTTGGTGAGTTATTTGAACCATACACTATGCTGAGACAATATATATATCAGGGTCCCCACACAGTCGGGAAAACTTGAAATAGTCGGGAATTTATCAAATAAATTTCCCGGTCGTGAAAACCGGGAAATTGACCATTCTAGTAAGGAATTTTTCAGGATAGTCGTGAATTTTTATTTCATAATTAAAAAAAACAAAAAATTACGCGAATCCTTTCAATTAAGCCTCCATTATCATTTATCGACTGCATTTTACTGTAGTATTACTTTAGACTTTTCTGTGCATGCGTTGAAATCGTTCTTCCGATGCCGACCCCATTTAAATTGTGAAAGAAAAACGACTTTGCGCCACTTGAGTCTCAATCATTTGATCTCTCTAGTACTCGGCGCTCGGCTCTTACAAATCAATAACTTTCAAGCTTTGAATTTTTGGAGAAACTCGAACAGTTTTGTGGTGAGTATTCATTTATTTAAATTATTTATATAGCTTTTAATCGGCAGTTCTGGTTTTTAATTTAAGAATCATAGTACTAGTCACTAGTTAAAGTAGTATTACAGTATTTGAATAGTAATAGTATTAATATTAATTAGGCTTAGGGAATATTAAGAAACTTCTGAAACGTATATTTGTTATTGGCAGATCTGGTTTTAAATTAATTTAATCTAGTATATAAATTTACTACAGTATTTCAGAAGTCCAGTACTATTAGTATTAGGGCTTAATATTGTATTGGATTAGGTATTATTAAGTCTGTAATTACTGTAATTGAAATTTTTATCGCTTTGGTTTTTACTTAAATAAAAATAGTATAACAATCTACTCCACATAAATTATTTAATTTAAGAAGTACTGTACAGTAAATAAATTTGTATTTGAGCTTAGTATAGTATTTTTAATAATTATTGTTCAAGACTATGACTATGATTGTAATAGTATTAATTAATAGTTTATAATGTTAAAATAACTTGTAAAATCTATTGTTACAGATAATTATGCCTAACTGTACTTTCCAAGATTACTGGTTAGAACAACTTGAATTCAAACCATGGCTTTCCCAGGACAAGTTTGTGCGCAATGCATATTGTAGGATTTGTTCTAGATCTATTGATATCCGTTCAATGGGCAGGACAGCAGTCATCTCCCACATCAAAGGGAAAAAACATGCAGATAAGCTTAAAGTTAGCCAATCGTCTCCAATAACAGTGTTCACTAAAAATAAACCTGCTGTTGAGATCCCATCAAATTCAGCTACACACTTTGTTGAAGTATCTACTCCAAAGTCACAGTCAACGTTGACCAATTTTATTTCAAAAAAGGATACGCTAAATGCAGAAATTTTATGGGCGTTAAAATGTGTTGATTCAAACTATTCATTTTCATCGCAAGCGGACATTGTGCCATTATTCCAACGGATGTTTCCAAATTGTGAAATAGCGCAATCAATGAGCTTAGGGGAAACCAAAATAATTTACATGTCATGTTTTGGTATTGCTCCTTATTTTACTTCCTTGCTGGAAAGAACAACAAAGGATTGAAAGTTTATTCTGAAATTAAGATTGGTTTTGTGGCAGAGGGGCTTCTCAAGGAAGCCAAAGTGAAGAAATTAATTAGCGACAAAGGAATTTTAGAATTTAAATTACAGCGCAGAGAGATCATATCCATTCTAATAGCAAAACTAACAGCAAAGTCTCCCCTGAAATATAATTTAGTGAGACACATGAGTTGTCTGGACCCAGAAGAAATGATCAACAAAGAAATTGATTCTAACCTGTCTAGTTTTAGACATGTCCTTAACATTCTAGTGTCTCTTAATAGAGCACAAATCAATGAATGTGATGAAATACTTTCTATATTTAGAGACTTCTTGGAGTGTTACAGGCATTCCCAGGAAATAGCAGCCTTCAGTAAAGCTGAAGGAAGACTGGATTGTCTTTATTATTCATTGTTAAATGGTAAAGAAAAGTTTACCAAGCTGTGGCGGATTATCCATGTTTTATTGCTTCTGTCACATGGACAGGCAACTGTTGAGCGTGGTTTTTCAGTGAACAGGGAAACCACGCAAACAAACATTTCTGAGAAGGTTTTAATAAGCAAACGAATCATAAGAGACCATCTAGAACAGTGGTTCTCAACCTTTCTAGTGCCGCGACCCCTTAATACTGTTTTTTGTGTTGTGGCTACCCCCAAGCCACACAATTATTTTCGTTGCTACTTTATAGCTGTAAGGATATATGTTTTCAGATGGTCTTAGGCGACCCTTGGAAAAGGGTCCCGCGACCCCCAAAGGGGTCATGACCCACAGGTTGAGAACCGCTGATCTAGAACATGTAGGAGGTCTTGCTAATATTGTTGTGACACAAGAACTCCAGACTGCCGCTCAACAAGGAAGAAAGATTTATGGGGATTATTTAGACAGGAAAAGAACAGGGGAAGAGAAGAGGCAAAAGTCTTCAAAGAGAAAGTTGGCAGAGAACGACATAGATGGACTGAAGTTAAAAAAACAGAAGCTGGAAAAAGAGATTGAATTTTTGATCGAAGATGCAGACAAAACTTCAGAGAAAGCTGAGACTTTGCAAAGTTTTCCTCATCTTTCAAAAGCTAATGCTATCAGAGTCAAGGCAAAAGAAAAGAGGCAACAGCTGACTAATATCAATGTTGAGATTGAGGAAAAGATGAAGTTGTTAGGAAACCTTTAATAACATTTAGTAACATCCCTTACTTAATTACAATTTATAATTCTCCATATAACAATGTTAACATATTTTTCATCTTTTGTAATTATTTGAAATAATCTAATTTCATTTTAGCATGTACATATCAGTAGATGTTAAAATAATTATTACAGTATACATGCATTGAATTATGTAAAATGACTATGGTATATATTTTTTCTGATATTAATATTATGGATGTATTCCTGTATATTATCAAGTCCAGGCATTGGAAAGTTAATGGTTAGTAAAAATATTATTTCATTATATTTTGTAAAGTTTATTTTATTAAAGATAGCATTATATTTAAAACATGTACCAGGATTGTGTATGTAAATTTTTAAAGAAAAAGCTGGAAAATCAATCGCAATAATTTTGATAAAGCCGCATTTTATTTAGTCAGGAATTTTCATTTTTCAGTTGGGAAAAGTTGGGAAAAAGTCAGGAATTTAGTTTTGAAAAAAATGTGGGAACCCTGATATATATATATATGGTAACTATAAGTCATTAATCCACACACACACATATATATATATAGGGATTATTAATAACTTATAGTTGTCTACTCCTGTACACAATGGTAATGTTGGGTGCTTCTCATCAAGGAAGTAGCTGCTTTGAATTCATCCAGGGGACAAAAAATTGCCCATTGTTATTCTCTTGGATGAGGGAAATGCTGAGTAAAAAAAACCACCATAAACCACAGAAAGTAGTAAGACCTCAGCCAACCTCCAATAGCTGTAGACCAGTTAGGCTAGAATAAGGCTAGAATAGATTTGAATCAACATTAAAATATGACTTTAAAGTTTTAAGTTTAAACATGTACTTTAAAAAGGAATAAAATGTAAGATTATTGATCAGTTTGTATAGGAAAACATTTTTTTTTAAGGGTAGCATAAGTGTCGTATGATGGCTAATGAAAAATCATTGATTATTTACTTATGTATTCTACAAATATCATCTTATGATCATCTTTTATATTTTATAATAATATTTTCTGGTTCATCATCTTGTTTCGCATGACTAACCATTCTGGTACTGATCTACTTTTTTGCTATGTATAGCCTCTGTACCGGCTATTATTTTGCAAAATATTCCCTGTGGCCCTAACATAATTCTGGAATGAGCCAAAATTTGATAGGTTTGCAAATTATTTTTAACTTTTTTGTTTAAAACAATTGATAATAAAATGTAGAGAATTATCTGTTCAAAAATGGATAAGGATGTTAAAAAGTTAAAAATACTTATGTGTTTTGTTCAAACTTTTCATTGGCAGTGTCACACTTGTGTGGGATTGTGTGGCTAGCAGTGTCCATTCGATCTTACTCAATCAATATCTACGTTGACACTAGTGTAAAACCTTTCAAACCTACAGGCTCCCGTAGGCGTAAATTTTGAGCTAGAGTAGGCCTATTTCCTTCAACAATTTCATCCCCCTCTTCCTCATCAGCATCAAAATCATCTAATCCCAATTAAAGCTCAATAATAGTTTCAGAACAAAAGGTTTCATCAAGTGGATGTAAGTCGTCCTCAACAATTTAGCTAGGTAGCGCCATGGCATGGAAACAACAAATACAGATCAGCACAAAAAACTCAGTATTTGATTGATTTTTCATAATTTAAAAGGCAAAATAAAATTTGACTATTCCCCTAACGAATAAACATTCTGCCCGAGACTATGGTGAAAGGTTATATCCTCGTTTTTGTGTTTATATTAGATACCCCTCTATGTGGCAAATAGACGCGCTAGGGCCACAGGGGAAAATTCGGCTGGTGGAAAAAAGACGTGCTTGGGCCACAGGGAAAAAAGTAGGTCACTCAAAAAGACGTGCCCTGTACTGTAAGGGTTAAAAGAGGACATTTTACTTAAAGCTGATATTTCCATAAAATTTAAATTTGGGTTTTCTACAATACAAAATGTAACCATTTATTAAAGCCAGTCTCTAAAATTTCAGAGTCAGAACAAATCAAAGCAACTTTGAAGAAAGGTCTTAGCAGTACACACCTGAATGTTAAAGAAGAGTAAGTTTACAATTCTTAATTTTATAAAGAAGACATTTTATTTTATTGCATTCAAGTCTTGAGTTTATTTATCCAGTAAATCATGAAATATTTATTTTGCAATGCCAAGGTCTCAATCACATTCAAGAAAAGAATCATTTGATAGCACAGTGAGCTCAGAGGGTCCTACAGAGTTGATAAGAACAAGATCACTTGAGTCAGTGCATCTGAAATTTAATCTAGAAGCAGGTTCATTACTACCACTGGCATTAAGGTTTGGCTTTATTTTAAACTTTGAAAAATAATTGGGAAGAAACATAAAATTGCCTGATATGTCAAAATAATCCCTTTAAATCAGGGTTGGGCAAACTGCAGGCTGCATGCGGCCCGGTCCGGCAACTGATACTATGTGGCCTTCGAAGGCATTTAGAAATTTTAAAAAAATTACTTTGTTTTAAGTTATTTTGTTGAAGTTTACAGAATTTTATATACTGTTATGAAACATTTTTGATCAACTTTCTTTCTAATTTTCTATTTTTTTATACAGTCCTTGACTTTTGTCATGTAATGCTAAAATGCGAATATACCAATATTAATGTTTATCGACATTTACAAATTGGACATAATATATATGCCCCCCCCCCCCCCCCCCAATAGCTTTACATTTGTCAATGTGACCCTCCGCACAAAACGTTTGCCCGCCCTGCTTTAAATGATCAAAGGTATTTCTTGAAACATCCCTTACCCCCAATAAGCACAAGTAAGGCTTGATTTTTAGATAATTCATATTCTGGGTCAGGATTTCTCTCTGTCTCTGCATCATCTTCTTATAGATTTTACAGTTTAAAAAATTAGCAATTGGGTCAGAGATTTTTTATCTATATAAAGATATTGTATATTTATTTATAAGGCAAATTTATACATATCTTATAACTTTATATTTATTCTAATAATTCTTATTTAGGGGCCGTTTAAAACATGGTAGACACTTCACATTTAAAGGCATTATGAATGATATTGCCATAACTCTAGTCTCTTCATCTGTTGTGGGTTCCATAACTGACGAAGAACATCCATTTGCAGCTCATGGAACTTGGTTACAGGTATAAAAATTAAGACATTTACTTACATTTAAGAAAATATAAAGACATTTTATTTCCCGTACAATCTGTCATGATGATTTTGACTTAATTAATTTGTGTTTAATTGTAGTAGTAGGGAACTTTACACAAGATTGAGAATATGACTTAGATTAATGTGTAAAACTGCTAAGCTGACTTAAATGAAAGTTCAAAACTATTTTTTAATAAGCCATTCTCCTCTAGTTTCCTTATAAATTATAAATGAGTGTTAGTTGGCTGTCGAATTCATTAATTTGTGTATGTAGACATGAATATTAATGAGTAAAAGAGCCTTTATAAAGTATTAAATCAGAATGAAGATTTTTAAATACCGGTAATATTTTTTTTAAAACATAGGTATTGATTCAAGATGAAGCCATTGATGACATGATTGATGACCTTGATGAACTTTCCAGTCCTGATGAGGTTTGTCTTTACTAACTTTCCGTTGTAATGAAATTTGCACTTTGTTCATGATGTATACTCAACTTTCTTTCAATTTTCTCAGTGCCTCTCTCTTTAAATCTTTTAATCATCTTCTTAAGTCTCATGCTTTATTTTGAAAAATAGATGTCAATAATTACAAGTATTTTTAAAATAAAATTTTCATTAGGGCTGGTTGCAATGTTCCCTTTAAGCTGCCCGGCTGTAATCTCACAGACGCCACGCAGCAGTTTTGAGTACCGCGCAAGCTAATTTCCACTTAAGTGTGTGTTTGTACATGTAGGCTGTAAAATTTTGCGCACAAAAAAATTGATGCTGTAAAAATTTGCACACAACTTTATGATTTTGCACACGAACCAACAAACCTTAGAGGGATCATTGGCTGGTTGTTTACCTTGAAGTTGAAGTTCTGTGCTAATGGTATTTTTTCTTCATTTTGGTTGAAGGATAAAATACTTATGCACTATGAAAAACATCAGTTTTTCCAAATAAAATTTATTAAGTATTGATTTCTATCGTATCATTTTATACTATTTGTTGGTTTTCATTTGTGTTCTTGATCATAGAGTTGGACTACACATTCAAAAAAAAAAAAAAAGATAAATTAGTTTCAATGAAATAAAAAAAATTAAATAATTAAAAAAAAAAAATAAAATGAGAGAGAAAAATTAAATGAAAAAAATTGTGTTGCTACAAAAATTGTAGATGTAAAATCCTTTAAAAAATTATTTATTTTTATCGTATAATTTTATACTTTTTGTTGGTTTTCATTTGTTTTCTTGATAATAGAGTTGGAATACAAATAAAAAAAAAAAAAAAAAAGATAAATTAGTTTCAATGACATAAAAGAATTTAAGTATTTAAAGAAGAAAAATAAAATGAGAGAGAAACCTTGAAGGAAAAAAATTGTGTTGCTACAAAAATTGTAGATGTAAAATCCTTTAAAAAATTCTTTTTGCTAAATTTTATGCATTTACATTGAAAGTAATAACATTCTGCTTTGATCTGAGGGGTTGTTCACAAAAGTCGTCCTCAAAAGATATGCATCTTTCCCAGCGCCTCCCCCTTGTCAATATGGCTCCCAACCCCTGGTGGTTGCGTATCTCAGCTTCCAGCATTGTACAGTGCAAAATGCCAAGAATAATAATAGCTATCATAAAGAGCAAAGAGTCACTAGATTTAAACTTCTAAAAATGTCATAATCTAAATCATTTTAATTAAGTCAACCAGACCTGTGATTTTTAGGGAAAAAAACAACTCATTTTTTTACATTAATTTGTTGATACCAAATATTATATTAAGAATGATCTCCCTGATGAAGAGTTTACTAACTTCTTGGTGGTTCAATATTATAATTATTTTGAAAATAGATTAGCTGTTTAAAAAAATTTTAAGCATACTGAAATACACAGAATGGGCCTATATTAATAAAAATGCTAGATTGCAAGCATACACAAATTCCTTTTCACACCCACCCTCCTTGTCCACATATGAACAAATCCTTCCTCTTTTCTGAAGTCCTTTATGAATATCTAGTTAGTTCATTTAAACTAAATATGAAAATGAAAGGAACAGGGGTTAAAATTTGAAAGTTATGCATATGTAACATTATTGATATCATTATGCTGCTTACATCATTATATTTATAGTCAATATTTTTACAAATTTATTTTCAGATACTATGTCCAAAAACATACAGTTGGCCAGAGAAACGTTTATGCATTACCATTTTGCCAGATGAAAGCTAGTGAATATTATTCATGTGTTTGTATTTAATTAAATTATTCAGATGAGTTAGAGACCAGTGATAATAGTCCTCACTCATTATTAAAAAAATAACAGGAATTGTAGGAGTTTCAAATAAAAGATATTGTGAATTTCTGATTTGTTAACTGCATTAGATATAGTTCCTCACTCATTATTAAAAAAAAATAACAGGAATTGTAGGAGTTTCAAATAACAGATATTGTGAATTTCTGATTTGTTAACTGCATTAGATATAGTAAATTTCTTTGCATATCACATGATAAATTGCATTCATTGGTACACTTTTTTTAAAGTGGACATTAATATATCTTAGGTATTTATTTTATATTTTTATAAGATTTCATAATTATTGTAAGGATTGATCAAAGTAATAAGGATGGTATATTTACTACTACTTTTCAATAATTTCCGTTAATTAAAGAAAAGTAAACTTCTTGCATTTAGGAATGGGAAATTGATACATAATTGCTCCAAATACAAGGGCACACTCTTAATAATGTCGGTTGCTCTTTAACATGTTATAAAATTTTGATTTAATGCTTGAAATGTTCACTGTAAATTTTTGTCATTAATTTATTTGTAAATCTGTGAAACAAAACTGAAACCAAAAACACTTAGACCAGCATTATTCCAATGTTATATTGATGTTGTCACACACACACAAACCCCCACTCACCTCCCTTCCTCTCATCCTTTACCATCCCCCCCATTTTTTTTGCTAAATAATAGGAGGTATTTGTGTTGACTCTACTGACCATTTCTTAAAAGTCACCTAATGTCAGGTGAAATATAAATTAGTTCACTTAATAATTTTTAAGATTGAACATTTTGGGATTGATTTAATATCTTTTTTTTTAAAGAGATGAATGTAATCTTATCATCCAAAAATTGTTTGTTTTTACTTTTAATAAAATGCTAAAGTTGTGTCCAAGCAAAACAGACCATTGTTAATGATGACAATTATCTCTTCAATAAGTCTGTTGAAACAAATAAGTACTTTTATGTCATGTAAATAAAGAGAAGTTTCACTTTTTTGTATATAAATTTGAAAGGTGCAATTATTACTGTATTATGAAGTTAAAACATTTGAGAATTGTACATCAAAACCATGCATGCTTTATTTTGATCTTAAAATGGAAACCCTAATATCAGACATGGTTGGTATGTAATTCTTAAAATTGTTAAGTGACAAAAACAGATGTTTAAAAATGGCTTTTGCTAAAATTTGTATAATTTTTTATGCCTGTGTGGGTTGGATTCTGTACATTACAAATTTGGTAATCTTTTTTGATTAAAGATTTATATATTGTAATTGTATGGTATTGACTTATAAATTTTGTTTGTTGCTTTTTAATTACCGGTTACAGAGCATCACAAACAAGCAAACTAAATTTTCATCATCTATTTCTCTTTAATTCATAAAATCAAAATGATGTGATCAATCACCATGAAATGAGACATACTGGATAACTGAATTGGTTGGGTACCAATTTACTTTCAAAGCTTTATTTCTGACTATAATAATAAAGTATATCATAAAATTGAATTAATATTAAAATATGATAGAATCTTAAATGGCCCAAAATATTAAGGTAGAGGCATGTTTGTTTTTTCATGGTGATATCTCTTAACATACAATAATACCATAACAAAATTGACACTATGGCAACTGTTTTATTTCATACTTTTACACTCCACAGAGCATTTCCATGGGCTTACAAAAATAGCACATCAATATTTATTCTACATAGGTTACAGTTGGGGGGAAAAAATACAGAGATTAACTTAATGAAGCTATCTCTTAGCTTTTTTTGCCGGAGGACTTTTATCCTTTTCTTTTCTTTGTCTGGTGTCTCTAGAAGGCATGGAGTTTGATCTTCCTCTAGTTAGAGGTTTAGCAAGTTCTTGCTGCTGATGCAATCTAGTGCCTGGTCGAGAAGAACTGCTTTCAGTATCATTATCAACATTCAATACTTTACGGCCTTTCTTCTGGCTACTTTCACTGGATGCAGCACTTGTATCAGACCAATCACTTGGATCATCAAGCAAGCGCTTCCTACTTCCTGGCAAAGATGCAGTTAAATTTGTAAGAGACACCGACTGCGCTCTGTGCACAGAGGTTATCTCATCGGTCAGTTCTGGAGATTTTGATTCTCTTGAAGCTTCAGATGCTTCTTCAATGTTTACAGGGGTATCTGGATGACTTACTTTTTCTTCGATGGAAACTGTTTTCAGTCCTGCATTCACCTCTAGAACATTGGATATAGGGTTTAACACATCATCTTTAGTTATGATTGCTAAGTCAGAGCCTGATTGTGTATTGTAAATTGGAACCTGGTTTATTTCTGTTACAGGTGCATGCATTTGTATAGGAGGTAATGCTGTATTTTCTTGAGAGTAATTGACTTTTTCTGATGAATGACTTAATGGTGATGCATAATTTAAGGTTTCCAAATTTACATTCTGATTTTTCAACTCAGTGGTCCCTTTAGAATCTGTGCTCATCTGTTCAATAATCATTGATTGATCAGTTATACTTTGATTATTAGACTCATCCATAGAAAAAACATGTTGTAAGTTGCACCTCAATGCTTCTGAAACAGAAAGAAATTGCTGGGATGGTCTCAAAGAGGGCATGACCGGTGATCTTTCAGTTGCTTTAGAATCAGATACTGCATCTGATGTTTTCTCAGGTGAAGTGCCCTCCTTCAACAGTTGAGGTGGTTCAGGTGTGCAGAGAGATATTTTACAGGGTGAGCAACTATCCTCCAGTAAGCATGGTGGCTCTGGAGTCATGGTATTTTCTAAAAGGCTTATGCTATCTGAGAAATGCTCAGGTGTCTTAACATTACCCGAGCGGTTCACCTCTGGTTCAAGCTCTTGCGGTGGCTCTTCAGCAGTTGACAGAGGGTAATCAGAAACAATTAAAGTTGTTGTGTATTCAGACATCAGAGGTGACCCGGTATTTTGTTCCGTGACTTGAAATGTTTTAGGACTTCCAGCAATGCGTTTCATTTCTTCTGTAGAAGCTGGAGATAAATGAGGTGCTGAGAGATTTTCTAAATCTGACCTGGCAGATGGATTGATACTTGTCACATATGAATTAGGTTCAGAACATGTGTTTGGTGTTTGGTAATCATTCAATATGGGAATAACCATGACCTCAGCATCATTACTTTGTGAAATTGTAACCTCATTTACAGTGGAAACACCAATTTTAATGGATTCCGCTTCTATGGTTGAGTCTGAAGCAGGAGACTTCAATTTTTTTAAACTATTAATGCCAGAGCTGGCACAAGTCAATGCTTCAAATTTATGCATACTTTCATCAACAGGTTGATGCTCAAATGATTCTATTGTGGAAGATAAAACAGATATCGCTATGGTTGAGGGCATATCTGAAGAATTTAAGATTGAATCTGACTGATCTACTTTTAAAGGCACATCTAAACATTGAGTTGTTTGAGGTACAGTCATGGGCTGCTCTATACCTTTGTTTTCAGAAGTTGGTGAACTCACAGCTGACTGCTCTGCAACATGATGAGCACTACTAGGTAAATTTAATGATGACTCCAACTCTAGGGTAATGGTAGAAATATTTGGCTGTGATTGTGAATTCCCAGTACATGAAGACTCCTGTTTGATTGAATCTGTAAATGATTGTGGTGAGCTAGGTTTTAGAGGTACTTGATGCAATTCTAGGTTTGATTTAGGGGTGTCTGACGGAAACTGTGAATCTGAGACATGTTTCACACTTTCTGAAGTAGATGTTGTCTGGATTGAAGTGTGCTCTTCAGTTGACACTGTATGTGAGCTAACATTATCATGTTCCTTTGAAAGAACAGCGGACAGGTCTCCTGTTTCTGGTAACAATATCTGTTCAGTTAATTTAACAGGAAAAGTCAAGGCTTTGGTCACATTAAATTTAGCCTCTGGTGATGATATGTTTAGTTCTTGCCTATAGTGTTCTGCACGTTTTGTACTGTAACCAACTTGCACATCATCAATTATTTCCCCTTCTTCCTCGTCTGATGGGAAAGGTGGTATGGGATCATCAAAAGGCAAAGATGGTGGAAGTGGTGGCCTGACATTAAAGGATAGGGGAGGTGATGGTGGTAATGGAGGCTGGAAACCATCAATATCTTGAGGAAGGGGTGGTATCTCTGAAGGTAATGGTGGGTGGTGAGGTGAGAAGCCTTCCATGAAAGCTTGGTCCTGATCAGGATAATCTGGCAGTTCTCCTGAGGATATGGAGCTTCTGCCAGGTGACATAGGAGGACGCTCAATGGAATCCTGGTCCTCATCTACATCTTCCTTACTCTGTCCTGATATCTGAGCTTGGCGTCGTGTAGGAGAGTACAACAATTCACTAGAAGAAATTGATGCTTTATCAGATGAACCTTCACTTCTCTTTCTTTTCTGTGCTGGTGGACTGGAAGAACTATCAGAAGCAGATTTTCCACGTGACCGCTTCTTCCTAACTTTCACTTTGGGTGGAGAAGGAGGCTGGGGCTCTTCGTCTGGAAAGTATGGTAACTCATCCGATGATATTGACTCATGACCCGAAGAGAGACGCCTCTCTACTGGTGTTGGATCTGCTGCAGGTTTGGGGATGATATCAGGGGTCTTTATGGGTGAGAAATTCTTTTCTTGGTTCGGCAATTTAGAGAGAGATCGGATAGATGATGTTTTCTCACTGTCATTATTCCTGCTCTTTCTACGTCGTTTTTGTTTTCGTGCTAATTTTTTCTTATGACGGGAGGAATTTGAAGATGATGAAGATGATGAGCGTGAACTGGAGCATGAACTTGATCGTGACCTTGAAGATGACGATGACAGTGATCGTGAGGATGATGATACAGGGGATGGAGGTGAAACTGGCGGCTTGTAGACTGATGAGGACCCTTGATCTGATCCAGGAGATCTGTGCTTTCTGCTGGAGACACCTTCAATAGGATATGGAGGAGGAATGTCATCCCTGACCCGCACAGACGACCTGCTGTGTGAACTTGCCTCCGAGTCGGCACCATCATATGGGGTGCCTATAGGTGATTTCACATGGGTTGGTGTTATCCCGTCAAGAGTAACAGGAAATCTTGAGCTGGTTGATGAGTAATTACTAGGCCTATTTGTGGGGATAAAAATTGTCAGTGTTAATAATGACAGCATTTAAAAAAAAATATGTGCTTAAACAATTTTATTATAACATCTTCATCTTCACTGCTATCTTAATATTTCATAGTCCATAAATATTTTTCCTTTAAAACTAAATTTATTTTTTAATTATAAGTTTGTGCATTACAAATGGTAATATTTTTATTTATATTAATTGGTTCCCTTAATTAAAAAAAAAAAAAAAAAAGAAGGAATCAATCTAAAACTCATTAAATACTTAAACAATATTCATAAAAACAGGATTTTTTTTTCTTTAAAAATAAATTTATTTTTTAATTATAAGTTTGTGCATTAAAAATGGTAATATTTTTATTTATATTAATTGGTTCCCTTAATTAAAAAAAAAAAAAAAAAAGAAGGAATCAATCTAAAACTCATTAAATACTTAAACAATATTCATAAAAACAGGATTTTAAGGTGCCTTAAATTAGGCTCAAATTAAGTTAATTTTTGGGATAAAAACAGAAAAATCCAAAAATCTATAATAATTCCATTGCTTACTCTATTGGTGTCCATACAGGATAAGCTCCCCGATAAGAACTGTGAGTAAGAGTCTGTGTGGATGAACCTCTTCTCCTATCAGTTGCCTCAGGATAGTAGCTCCGAGTACCTCTGGCTCTCTTCTCAGCTTCTCCAAAATCTACCAGCTCTATTGGTTTTTTGTAAACATTTCTTTCTTTGTCTTCTTTGCTTTCCTCAACAGCCTCATCTGAATCACTTTTTATTTCACCTTCATCCGACGCTTCCTCCTCCTCTTTGACATTGGTGCTATTTTTTGTTGCACAGACCTCAGTTGTCGATGATTCCCTTTTCACACTTGCCGTTTCTTTATCAGAATCTCTCTCTTCACCATCTTCTTTATCAACATCTGTTGCTGGACTGCTAGCACCCAATTCATCAAGTGGAGAATCTTCATCTGACACAGGCTCCAGCTCCAAGTCGGCCATAATGTCCACTGGTTCTTTAGCATTGTCCGTCTCCCCTTCAACTGAAGTGGACTCCACTATGCTCTCTTTGGGGTTGTCAATTGCAGCGACCAATGCTGGGTTTTTAGTTACTTCCCCACTACTAAGTTGTGAGGCTTTCTCATCATCCGATAAATCCTTTTGTGATCTGCAAAATGAAGATAAAAAAATATTTAGGAAAGTATTTAGAGAACATAGCACTAATAATTTTAATTTAATCTTTAATTGTTCTATGACCTAATGCAAAAATAGCTTTATTTAGAAATGACATTTATATTTATATATAAAAACATACAGAAAGTTCCATGTGAGGTGGAGGGAGATGGAGAAGGAAAATAACTTTACTTTGAATCAGATCCTGAGACAGGTGGTGTAGTTACCCTTCTATGAATAGTACGAGGTTTGTAAAGATCATCAACATCATATCTCTGACTTCTACGATTCTCCAACACTTCAGGTGACTTCCTGAAACATAGTAATTGAAGATTAATTTTCTCTACCTAAATCTACATCATACATGTAGAGAAAATAATTTTGTATTTAAAGATATAAGTAACCAACCCCAATCAACTATACAGCATAAGTTACATGACATAACATACCAAGTTTTATTTACAGAAAAATGAATATCTTAACCTTTGATCAACTCCTTCTTTCAAAAGGTCACCACCACTCTGACTGCTGCCTAATCTAGATCTTGAAGTGATTCTTGTTGACAAATCATCTTGTTCATGTAACTGACCTTCATCTGAATCAGAATCTTGCTTAGATGATGCAATATCTTTATTGGTATCATCTTCTGTAACACATTAAAAAAAAGCAGCATCCTTACTAAGAGTTTATATTTTTTTAATATAAAATTATAAGTAACTGGAAAGATGAGGAACAGACACATTCATATTAAACCAATAACTGTTAAAAAAAAACACAAACTGAGCAACTTATTAGGTGGTATTAATTTATCAGAATTGACAGAATCACTGAGCCTCAAACTTTTTTTCTGAAATGTATACACATTTAAAGCTTTATATTAGCATATAAAGTATATGGAAGAATATTGTTTCTATCAAATACAGTTCCTATAATATGATTACATGAAATGTGCAAGTGGACCTTGGAAATAAAGACAAACCAAAAGAGGATAATCTTTCTCTACCAGAACAATTTTTGCTTTGATTTGATCCCCTCCATATAAAGCAGGGGTACTCAAACTTTTAGGTCAGCGGGACCCATTTTGGTTTTAGATATGCCTAGAGGGTTAAACCTGTCCTCCCCTGTGCTATCCCATTTTGACTTTATGCTAGTACAGCCTACCATACATAGTGCACAATAAGTAATTTATCGTAAATTTTACTGAAAATTTAGATTACAATTTTGCATATTAACATTTTAAAATAGAGCTATTTTCTTGTCACAGACATACTACTAAATAACAATGAACGTTAACTTCAGCACTGTTTTAGTTCACTAACTTTATTAAAAGAAACGCATCATTCATATTCTTTTCTGTGGTTGCTGAAATCTTTCAGTGTAAGAAATAAATAGGCTTGAAAACTCATCTTGTAAGTCTTCTTCTTCTTCTATATTTTGAGGGCCCACGAGCAATGAATTGATCATTCTGGCTCCTATGTTTCAGAGGGGTTTGTGATGTTACTGTACATGGTTTTGAAGTGGATACTTCACTGGTTGCAAGGGCTGCTCAGCTGTGGTATTATGAACTGGGGGTTGGAAGACAGGAGGCAGTAGACGCAAATGTGTCAAGTGTAGTCGCCTCAACTGTTGCTTTTGGAAGCTTGTTCCAGTCCCTTATTGTCTTTGGCAGGAATGAGGAGCTCCTGTACCGAGTTCTTGTTTTTATTAGCCCGAACTGCCTGTCATGGCCTCATTGCTGTCTAGGGGGGAGATGGACGAGTTTCTGTTTAATGCTGGAGCAGTGGACCAGCCCATTTTTTATCAGGTACAACATGGAGAGCCTGAATAGTCCTCGTTGTTCTTCCAATGGTTCTTTAGTAACAAAATAACAGACTGTATGAAAATGCAACAGCTGAATTGATTCCAAAACAATGGTAGATGGTGCAAGTTTCTTCTCATAGGAATGCCATTTCTATTGAGCCTCCATGACGGTATTTTTCTGACCTTTCAGCAAAATAATAAGCTCATTAAGGTAGGTAGTTCAGCAACAGTTACTATCTTGTTCACATTTGTGATAAATTCCATAATCCCCAGCCTTCTTTGATGACACAGTTTTGAGGAACTCTATCATTTTCTGGTGAAGTATCCAAAGCTCTTCCTTGTCTTATCCCTCTTACATCACTGGGCAAAGCGCCATGTTCTTAACGTGAATTAAATTGCTCCTTATGAAATTTATACCATCTTACGTCCATTGCCATTACATCTGCAAATTCACTGCTCACCTTGAACACATGACTGACTGATGAATGATGTATCAAATTTGGTTAAACTACCCTAAGACAACTGGCAAGATCGAGTCCAATTTAAAGGGAAAGGGGGGGGGGGTAGTGTTCATTAAAGAGTCCCTTTGTTTTTAGCCCCACAAATGAGATATGTCAAGGTGCATCAAAACATTATTTTTACAATGACGGAAAACATGAGCAGGCCTGTGGAAATGACCTCGCAGGCCAGACTCTGAGTAATTCTGATATACAGTATCTTTCACTTTAAGTGGGAATATATAAATATAAACCAGTAAAATGCATTGGGCAGTCAAAAGAATTATGAATACACCACTTATGCTGTCACCTTCATCCTTCCCTGTTCTACCACTGATGTTTGATTCATGTAATAAAGCTACTCAAACTTGAAACTGACCCATCTTGGTGGTTAAATAGTCTTACATATGTACACATATAGTTACATTCAAGATATTCAAAACCATAGATATATAAATATCAATTTACATTAGGGGTGTGCCGGATCCGTTTTTTCCAACCGGATCCGGATTTTCTTATGCGAAATCCGCCGGATCCGGATTCGGATTCCGGAATAATCCGGATTCCGGTTTCTCCCGGATTCCGGTACTATTGGTAGATACTTCGGTAAGTCAAGGTAGACTACTACTTTTTGTGTATGGGAATTCGCAATCGGCGCCAAAAAATCTGAGTTTTTAATTTTCCGATGTGTGTGTCTATTTATTATTAAATTAGTACTTTCGATATATATTTGAGTTCCGTTTTCGGCCTTATAATTAGGTAGACATCTTGGCCTACATTTTAATCAATTACTTTTTCATTTACAATCAGTCAGCTTTGAGAAAATCCTTGGTAAATATAAGGCAACTTTCATCATTAAAATTAAGTCGAAGGAAAAAATTTGTCACTACCAAATTTTTTTTGCATCTGGGGAATCTATTGATCTACATGTATGCCAATTTTCACAGCGATAAGTGTCTTACGAGAGACGCCATGTTTCTACGTGTTCGCAGCAGGTCATGCAGCTCGCTCAACCTAATTTCGCCATGGGGTTGGCCACGCCCCCCTTTTTAATGGCGGAAGTTGACGATACTTAGGAAATATTAATTTATTATCACTATTTACATCAAAATAATTGATAACTTGTGTTTCAGAATGCATTTTAAAGACATTTAAACTGGAATGTTTTAATTTGAGCTTTAACAACCCGGTAGAATCCATATTATAAATTATCAACACGTTGTCATTGGCAACCATTCACAGCCACTTGCATAATGCCTATATCGTAGTACTATCTCAGAGTTTCATTCATAAGAGTTTGCTGTGTGCAAAAACTATTAAAACATTAGTCAGGGAAAGCTTTAATTAATTATTCATGTGCCAAAGTTGAAAGTTTAAACTAAGTCTAAACAGCATTTTAGTGATAAGCCAGGGAATGCGTTGCCGTATATAAACTATATAGTCATTGCGCATGACGGGATTGGCGGAATGAGATCACAGAATGTGGAGATGCAGTCCATGTTAAAAAATGACAAACCAAGTCGTACTTAAAAAATTCATAACTTTAAAACTACAACAGCTAAAAATATGGTTTTGGTGTTATAATTCTTTAAAAAAATTAACTCTTTTCAACTATGCCATTGGTTTATTTTTACAAAAAGTTAAAATTTTCTTATCAAAGTCCCTACTATTGGCCACTATTAGCGGTGCTGACTCTAGCCTCTGGTATGTTCGGAATATTAAACATTAAACAAGCTCAACGTTCGAAACAATCGATTAATGTATCGTAATCGTGTGGAATTCGGGAAAGAGAATTACTTTTATTTCAGATTATGATCCGGTGAGTCACAAAATCTGGCAAATTCCGAAATCCGCTATATTCTGGATTCCGGTTGTTCCGGATACATGTAAATCCGGCGGAACCGGATTTCACCGGATAGTGCAAAATCTGGCGGAACTGGATTCCGGACCGGATTCCGGCACACCCCTAATTTACATCATATCAACATGTATCGATGGATCTTGACCAAACATGGAAAACATATCCATCATTATTCAGAATGAAATACTGGGGGGTTTTGAACTTTAAAAAATATTCCTTTTGGGGGGTGTGCGCCACTAAAATTGTTTTCTTCTTATATGAGCTAATTAAATAAAATTACCAACAAATACTCCTACATGAATAGATGGATCGTGCAAAAACTTAGTACACATACACAGATTATCCATATTCAAATACCAAAGGGTACTGAACTCATAATATCCACTCCCTTGGGGCCCCAATTCATTTTTCCTTATATAAGCTATATAAATAACAGTAAGCTTAGTTAATTGTATAGGCTTTTACTAGAATTTATCGATCTAGCCCAAGCTTAGTAGCATCACTTTTTAGGAGTACATATAAAATTATGAGTGGATTTAAAAGTAATAATATCCAATCTATTCAGGGCCAGTATAAAATCTCCAGAAAGTTTGATAATTTAAAAGGCTGGCTCTAAGTCATTTTTATACAGATTTTAATGGGACAACTTAAATTTTTAACTTGATTACTTATCGGAATGATTTTTATAGGGCCCCATATCTTGGGCATAACTAAAATTGTACCTTCTGGAGTGGGCCCTCTGTTTTAACATAAATAAAAAAAGGTTATAGTTATGGTATTTTGTTGTAGATTTTATGGGACTGTTTGTATAGTTCTATAGATTTCTATACCCTCCTGGAAATTTATTCAGTATCACTGAAGTTATTTTTTATAATTTTCTTAAAGTTTCTACATTATTTTAGAAACTTCAACTTTTTTCTAAAACTGCTTTAATTTTAAAATTAAATAAATGTCATTATGTTTCTATGTTTCCATAACTTTCACTGAGTTTCCTCAAATGTTATGGAGTAAGAATTAAAGGTTCCAAATTAAAATTCCCTTAAAAAGGCCTTTGAAATAAACATAAATTAAGTTGAAGCTTAGATTACTTTATGAGCTTTTACGTATATAGGTTGCGGAAGGGATAAATTTAAGTGTATCTCATGAAACAAGATGCTAACTGGAAATGGAATCCACTCGGGAATGGGATCCCACTGGAGAGCTTGATCCATAGGGAAACCACCTGGGAATGGGATTCCATCAGAGAATAGGTTAAGATGCATACAAGAAACAGGATCCCTATGGGCAATGGGAAACCACTGTGAAATGGGATTCTGACAAGGACCAGGATTCCACCGAGAATGGGATAACAAGGAATGGGATCCCATCAGCAACAGCCAACTGGAATCCCAACAGGGATTAGATCCCATGGGAAATGAGGTTCCAACAGCCTAACATGTTCCAAAAAGGAATGGGATCCCATCAGCAACTGGAATCCCACCAGGGATTAGATCCCATGAGAAATGGGGTTCCAACAGGGAACAGGATCCAAAAAGGAACAGGATCCCTTTTTATGTAAGAGAAATATAAAAGTCAATTTTTTATTTTAGCAACCTGTTTTTTTTACAGGGCCCCTAATATTGAGGTTTAAAAAAAGTTTTTTGTAGAAGTTTTTTTTTTTTTTTAATGCAATTCCAGGCAACGCTGGGCATATTAGCAAGTATCTCTCTCTCTCTCTCTGTTTGTTTGTGTGTTTTTAACAAAAATAGATATGTGATATGTGCAGATAGCTTAACTGTACATTTAATGTGCCTTTCATTACGCAAATAAATTATGCTCTCAAAATCATTAATTTAAGTAACAATAACTAACCTGTGTTGTTATCTCCAGAATCCAGATCTTCATCTGATGAGACCTGTTCCATCTCAACTGCCATTTGCTGATCATCTGATTTGTCTGACATCGACTTGTCAGATATGTCACTATAAGGAGATGGACACTGCAAGGTCAGATCATCCATCTTGTCTGCATCTACAACTACCTCAACAGTGTCACCAACAGTTTCAACTACACACTCCTGTGGAATTCATTTTTTTTTTTTTACAGTAATCATTAGCTAGACCAGTAAGAACAAACATTCTTAACATATAAGTGATATAACTCTTCATTTACAAAATATCAATTAAGATACACAAAATAAAAGAATTTCCTAGTACAAGAAATTGAAGAAAAAAAATCGTTCTTTCAAACATTTTGTGATGCAAATTCAAATTGAGAAAACATTAAAATTTTGAAAAATAAAAAGTTACATCCTTGATAATAAAATAAAAGAATGTGTAGCAAAGAATACCTGATCAACTGTCATCTCAACTATTTCCAAGCTACCATCGAAAGTTACTATTTCTTGAGACGCCAAGACTGGCTCTGTGTAGCTTTGATTTAAAGTTTTGCGCTCTGAGAAGATGCTAGTGAATTCTTCGGAAGTGTATCTGCGATTGCGTGTCCTTTGGCGGCGTAGGGCTGCTTTTCTTTCTAAGACCTAAAAATGTATGGAGAAAAATAAACATGTCAGGGAACTTTAAAAAAAAAATTTAACAAAGACAATCATTGACTATACACATGCATCCAAAGTGATACAATTTCCTCATTTTTGTATCTGGATTTTTCCAATTTCAAAAATACACAATTTTGTACCCGATTTTCCAGGTTATTTCTTGGAATATTGCACATGTTCAAAATGGTTTTGGCGATCATAATCTTACTTTATCTCTTAGAATCAAATCAATATTGGTCAAATGAAACTTAAAGCTCATTGGTCCATTCAAAGTGACTTTTGGTCAGTGTAGGATCAGTGTACCCGATTTTCCAGGTTATTTCTTGGAATATTGCACATGTTCAAAATGGTTTTGGCGATCATAATCTTACTTTATCTCTTAGAATCAAATCAATATTGGTCAAATGAAACTTAAAGCTCATTGGTCCATTCAAAGTGACTTTTGGTCAGTGTAGGATCTAACGCTAGCATTATGGATTTTGTGTAAAGTGCAAAGTGATATCTACATATATCTACATATATAGCAAATGCGGTAACTATTGACAGATAGACTTGTTGCTGTTAGTGAAAATTGAAGTAGCTTTCAGAACGTTTTAGTCAGTAACTGAACAAAATAAAACATTCTTTTATCGTAAATCTAAACAAGTGTCAGCAAATATTTTATTTGCTATGAAATATTTAAAAACAATTATTTGAACCTTAGCATTGGGCTTTATAATATGTAATTTAAATCTATTTTTTTCGATAAGAGCGTTTCTTCTTTTTTTTTCCTCAGATTATTTAGCCTTGGGGGTTAAGAGCGTTTCTTCTTTTTTTCCTCAGATTATTTAGCCTTGGGGGTTAAGAGCGTTTCTTCTTTTTTTTTCCTCAGATTATTTAGCCTTGGGGGTTAAGAGCGTTTCTTCTTTTTTCCCCTCAGATTATTTAGCCTTGGGGAAGTTTAATACAACTGTGAACTGCTTTGATTATTTTTATAAATTATATCCTTTTATTTTTATTCTATCCATCTGGAATCTAAATTGTCAGAGAAATATTAGCTCTCAAAATTCCAAACTGATTGAATAACAAAATTCTCTGTGAGCATAAAAATTTGAAAAAATCAAGATTTTTGCAAAACAAGCTGCAAGTAGCTAGATAACAATTTTCTATATTTTCTAATCCTCCTTATCAATGAGAATAAATTTTTTTAAATACAAACTGGTATTACAAAGTTGGACTCGGTGATGGCAGAATTACATCTGTTTTACAGTGTAGTATTAACACAGGTTCGAGTTTGGGTTTCATAACCAATCCAAGACATAATAAAATTTGATAAAGATTGCTTGAATGGAAAAACATTATACCATGATCTAAATACCAATTAAAAAATGTAGTTTTTCAGAATTTCATTTTTTTTTAGGCATGTTTTTTTTTAAAAACAGGAATTCTGGGAGACTGTACAGTGACGTGACTGCAAAAGGTTGACACACATGCCTTAGAATAGATCTGTGCTTTCAAACACTACAGCATAAAAATTGAAATTGTAACTTAAAAAAGTGGTGGAAAACCTTTTGCTGGTGAAGTTGTTCTTTAATTTCCGCCTTGTTCCTACGCTTTCGTGTTGATGTCTTAACAGGGGAGTCTTGATCTGCAGTTGAAGTTGTGCTTGTGTTGGCATCTTCTGCTACTGAGACATCTAGAAGAAAATGATAAGGTGAAAATTAATGTAAATGAAATAATTGGTGCCCTACACAACTTCACGTTATTTTTCCTCATTTCAAATCTTTATTTCATTGCAAATCATCTTTCCCTTCCTGATAATTGTCTTACCAGTAAGGCTAATATCCTATCTGAAATTATTGGTACACATTCAACATCATAGCTGAATGTCCATTATACCACAAAACTCTATAAGATGTTATGAAATTTTAGTTGTTTTTTCTTTACTTATGGTCCCACAAAGATGTTGCCAGTTCGTTTCCATTAAAGCAAAAATACAAAAATTTTAACCAATTCTGCTCCACATTTCCCTCTGACAAATAATGTTTGTTTAAATTTAATTATCAAATTGACATTACCAGCAATAGACTGGGACATTTGATCTTCCTGAGATTCTGATTTATTTTCTTCTTTTTGTTTCTTTTTTTCTTCTTTCAGGCGTGCTTTTTCTTCTTCTCTCTCTTTTCTCTTTGCTTCTATCTCAGCTCTACGTTGCTGACGTTTTAAATATCTCTCTTCCTTTTCTTTGGCCTGAAATATGTTTACATTCTTAATTAGACAGGAATAATAAATATGAATGGGTTCATGTGTAATCAATCACATTCAGGCCTGGGCAAGTTATGACGAATGCAAGCAACCAAACTTAACAATTTATTTTAAAGGCAAAGAGGAATACATAAATAAAATAAAAATTTTAAGTAATTTCAGAAATAATGACACTTTTTTTATGGTTCTGTTTGAATTAACTTAAAAAAACAAGAAAAATGATCAACTGACAAACTTTTTCAATAACAAATTTGATTAATATTGAAGATAAACCTATCTTAGCTTGCAAGAATACTCCTAATTTCTATGCTGCTGTTCAGTGAAAATAATTACCCAGGCCTGAACAGAGAATAAACCACAAGCAATAACTAAAACATTTACCACAAGTATGTATTTAATACAGTTGTTTAAGTATTTAAATATTAAGGAGTGTTCTACAATTTAAAATAAATCTTATTTAACAAAAAGTAGAGATAAAATAAAATATATTTGTATAAATGCTAATGTCAATATAATAAATCTATTTACAAATAATTTTAGTTGTCTTATATCTCCATAAATTAAATAGATGATTAAACATTAAATTCAAACAAAAAGAAAGATATTGTGTAAGTGCTTACAATTCTAGCCTTCCTTTCCTCTCGTGTTTCTTCTTCATCACTGTCACTATAATTGTATTGCAGTGATACTAATTTTCTGGGTTTCACAACTTCAGCACTCTTATCTTTAACCAAATTATCAGCTGTTTTGCTGGGATACACTGAAAAATAGGAATAAAATGACTTAAGAAAAATATCTCAAAACATCAAATTAATTTGGACACATAATTTTAAAATACATTAGCCATGTGGAAATTCTTTGAGAAAAGATAATAAAATTAATCAAAATAAACCCTTATTTTTTTCTCAATAAAAAAAAAGTGTCAATTATTTTTAAGACAAATAAATTGAACATTGAAACCAACCAATCACACACACTTCAAATTGCGACCTAACTAAAATATTGCTAAAATATGAACTTATTTGGTAAAATAATTTTAATTTCTACTATTGTCAACAACTATTAGATAAACCTTCACAAATGTCAGTTGCAGCTGGTTGATCCTTAGACGGAATTGGTTCTTCAGTCTCAACTTTTAGCACTTTTTGTTCATTCCCATTGTTTATAGGACTTATTGATTGTTCCTCTGCTGGCTTCTCCTCTTCAACAGGAGTTTCTTGCACAGCTTTATCTTCATGCTCTGACGACTCTCCTGCAGCTAAAATAGAATATTTTCATTTCTTTTATACTGTTTAAGAGACTTTCTGAAAGTGTAATTTATCTTGTAGTATTTGAACTTGATTTGTAAATTTCATGAAAATATATGAGTAAATGCTGTAGGAAGTTGATATAATTTGAATTTAGCAGTTTAGTTAAACCTATATAGAGGTGGATGAATTTGAGATTAACCCTAAAAAAAAGTATTTTGCTTCTTTTTACAGGAGAAAGCCTGATTATGTATCACAAATAATAGAGTTTTCATATTGAAAGCATATACCTTTACTTTTTACTTCTGTTTCCTCTGCATTTTCCCTTGAATCTTCTTTCTCATTTTCACTCTCACTTTCACCAGATGAAAGGTCTTCAAATGATGAAATATCACTAGTATGTATAGAGCTGACTGTGACATCAGAAAGTTCTCCAATGTCCTTATCAACATCCCATGCAAAATTGTATCTATTCAAATAGAGCAAGAAGAGCAGTGGAAATCATTTACATTTGTAAATTATCCTTTTTTAAATGTGACACATAATTCAGAATATGTTCTGTTGTAAGAACTTTGCATTTTTTATAAAATAGAAAAAAAAATTAATAAAAGGAGAAAGCAAAAAAAAAAAAAAAAAAAAAAAAAAAAAAAAAAAAAAAAAAAAAAAAAAAAAAAAAAAAAAAAAAAAAAAAAAAAAAAAAAAAAAAAAAAAAAAAAAATAAAAATTTTAAATTTTTAAAAAAAAAAAAAAAAAAAAAAAAAAAAAAAAAAAAAAAAAAAAAAAAAAAAAAAAAAAAAAAAAAAAAAAAAAAAAAAAAATTAAATAATACATAACATTTGAAAAAAAATGTATATTTAATTAGCTTTAATAAATTAAATATTTTCTAATGGGAAGGCATATTCACAATTTTTTTAAATCTTAGCATTTTGAGGTTGTAACCTAAAAATCTTACTTTCCAAAAGGAACTGTGCCTAACAATGTATATGTTACATTAAATTATATAATCATTCATTAGTTTTAGTTAATATGATAGGATAACATTTTAAATTACACATTTCCCAATCTCTCAAGGGAATTGTAAAACTCTTGTAAAACTTTATATAAATTAATTTAAGACAACTACATCTAGTCTATGAAGCTAAAATAATTGTTATCTTTTAAATATCGATAAATAATATTAAAACTTTAATACAAAGAAAATTGAAGCAAAATTGTTATTTATCCGAGTTTTTTTTATATAAATGAAATTATAATTAATTCATAAGTTGTGTTTTATATCCTAAAAATGTATTAAGGCAACTTAGAGGAAACCATTTATTTAAAAATTAGAAATTCAGATAATTTGATTTTAAAATAACCCTGACCAGCTGGTGCTCTAGATGAGTTTGGTTATTAAAATCTTTCAGTTTAAAAGTATAACTAAATTTAATGAATTCTCATTATTTTTATTTAAATTTTAGAAATGTTCAGTTTAGAAATGTTCCGCCATTTCTATGTTTAAGACAATACATAGTTCCAAGTTTTATTTCAGAGCTTATGAAATCCAACACCAAAACTTTCAACAGAATAATAAAAGAATAAAAGTTGCTAACCAATAATCACTTGCAAAAAAATCTGTAAAAAATAATAACAATACTATTTAAAAAAATAATAATTCTGAAACCAAAACTGTACTCAATGCAATAAGATTCTAGATTTTGATTTGAATTGATTTTATTGCTCAACAATATCAAATTTTGAGAAAGCCAAAACATATTTTGAAACAATCGCTGCCAGGCCACAGAAACATCCGGCATACAAGGTTGAAATATTAGCAAGCTTTGATAAGTGAAATTTCTTTTCTCACGAAGAACTCCCATTTATGTGGTGAGGACTGCAAAAAGAAAAAAGCTCCAATAAAGTAGGATTATTAAAAAAGCAAGCTGATTGTTATCACTAATGTTTTCCACTTAGACACGGTGACAATTTTTGGAAGAAGGAGCGGTTTTCCACCCAATTTTCTGTGGACACTTTGTGTTGGGATGGCACATATGATTTTCCCCAATCCAGTGTGTTGCTGTCTTGCCATTTTGGTTGTTGAGTCTTTTCATTCACGTTTCCCTCCCCAAGAGCATCAGCTTTGATGAACTAATGAGCTCATTTCATACAGCTATTTTTGCACATAGTTGGGAGCAACCTAGACACATTCAAACCCTCTACCTCCAAGTTATGAAGAAGAAGTGCATACATGGCAGCACAGGGCTGCTACATGATTTTAAAAAAAGCTTGAGAATATCAAAATAAAAATTTGTGAAAGCCAAAAAAGTTCACAATTAATTGACGAATAAAGCTTATGAAGGAAATTTTCTTATCATGTTTTATTTATTTTTTTAAATTTCTCTAATAACTATGAATTAGAAAAAGAAGAAACCAATAATTTCAAAATGCTTATTCAAGTACTTGTAATTGTTTATTTATTAATTTATTAAAATATTGAGTACTCAATTTAAATTAATAAAAGTAGGTCTGTTGCAAAAGTATATTTTATTGCAACATTAAGTACCTTGAATGAATACTTTCTTTGCACCGATTCAAAATAAACCCCAATCCTTTTTATTTTCTTTCTTAAAAAAAAATTAAGAAAGAAACAGTTATCTTTTGAAGAATACTTTTTTAAAATGAAACCTCTTTTGTTTTTATTTCATTTGCCATTTTTTCCGGAGTATAAGACAACTGGGCTTATGAAACAACCCTTACTTTTCCTGTTAATATATAGGGTTTGTGCTGTATACCAGCTTATAAGACGACCCCCCCCCCCCCCCCCCCCCGTATAAGACGACCCCCAACTTTTGAAAAGATTTTCATGGGTTAAAAAGTCGTCTTATACGCCGGAAAATATGGTAATAAACTAACATTGCTTTCTTTATGAAATTATTGAAATGTTTTAAAATTGCACATTAACAAGAATATTGCAGTTCTCTGTCAATTAAAGGAAAATTACCAATTTAACAATTTTATTTACTCAATCAATTTCAGATGCATACAAATTAACATTACCTATCTACATCATTGCATCCCTCAATTCAAATTTTACACTTAATTTGTTTAATATCATAACTTCTAATTTAGTATAAATACCCCCCACCCAGTGAGGTGGAATTTGACTTTCAAGAGCATAAACTGGAAAACAATTTAGAAGGGAAATTACAATACACATCACTACAATATATGTCAATACAATTTTTTAGTTTGAGTCTGATTAGATAGATTATTTTTGAAATGTATAATTATAAATTATTTTTTTTTCATTCTTTTCAAAGTTAATTTTTAGGTAATCTTAGTTAATTTTATTATTTATTTCATATCTTCATTGTAAGCTTCCGCTAAAGATGGATTATAAAATAATGTAGAATAAATAAATGTACCTTTTTCCTGGTTGACTCGTGGGTGGTTGTTCTTCCTCCCCCTTGTCAGAGTCATCAGAAAGTACAATACCCTGTTTGTGTTTGTCCTCTGTCTCAGCACAATCAATTAACATATTAAATGATTCCTCATCATCAGAGACATCTTCAGCAGCATCGAATACATCCATTAAATTATGTTTAGGCGGCAGAGGGTCTTCTTGAGCACTCTCCACTGCCTTCCTTTTTTCTTCCTCTTTCTCTCTTTCTGCTTTTAATCTTTCAAATTCTTTCATTCTTTCTTTACGCTTTGCAGCTCGAATTTCATGCTTAGTCAAAGGTACACCAGACTCAGCCATCATAGCCTCAGCTAAAACACGAGGAGAAAACATTGTTGCGAGATCGGCACCTGGTGTTCCTTGGGCATTGTTCACAGTTTTTGTTATAAATGCAGCAGCGGTCTTGAACACAGCTATTTTCTCAGGAGTGAGTTCATCTTTAGATACTTTTGATAAGGTATGGGAAATTAATGCAGGTATATTGGGAGTTGTTGGCACATTGGGACGAAGCATAGGTGACACAGGAGGTGCCATTGTTGCACCTGGTGGTAAAACTGGCACTGTTCCAGGTGGAGGAGGAACAGAACCAGGAGGTGGTGGACGAATTATAGACCCAACAGGAGCTGGGTGAATGCCTGGAGGTGCAACTGGACTTGACTGGAGAGATAATCCAGGAACTCCAGGAGAAGATCCAATACTTGATGAAGAGCTAAGCAGTGGAGTATTTGACAGGCCAGGTGGTGGCTTACTGAAGTCAGGGGTGGACTGGTTAGCCATGGGAGATGTGCCATGAGCTGATGAAGAATTTAGGCCACCAACACCTGGTGAAAACCCTCCAGGTCCAAATGCTGGTATCATTGGCTGCCCAGGTATCATTGGGTTCATTGTTTGATTGAAACCCTCCATGCCAGGTAATCCTGGACCCCAAGGACCCATAAAAGAAAACGGCTGCATCATACCACCAAAGCCCATGCCTTGACGATTAAATGGTCCACCTGTGACAGGATTTGTTCCCCCTGGTCCAGGCATCCCCGAGACAGAAGATCCCAAAAAGTTACCAGAATTTTGAGACCATGGCAAGTCCCCAGGTGTAGGAAGTATTCCTGGATTAAAAGTATCTTCTGAAAACCATAAATTATAAAAAAAAAAGTAATTCAAATGTATTTTAATAAGCAATAACACCAACAGGATTTAATTATTTCTTGCAAAAAGTTATTAAATATTGCTATTAAAGTTTTTAAAAAAATATAAAAAATATTGTTGAGCTGTGTTCTTTCTTTCATGGGATAGTTTTATATTTAAGACCCTAACAACAAAACTTCAGAATGATATTAAAATAACCTTGATAAATGATTTTGAGTTATATTTAAATTACAAACTGTCTGCATTTGCTTAAAACTCTTTTTCTAATGCATAACTAAGTTAATACATTTCCTGAAACAATTAAATAAATTGAATCTGAATGTTATAGATGTTTTCATTCTTGAATTTAAAGGCAACTTTAAAACAAATACTGTTCAGATATTCAGAAACAAATTTACAGATTTTTTTAAATTTGAAAAGTAATAAACTAAGACTAAGAAAAAAAACTACTTAGTGGTTAAAAACAGAAATTTTAATTTTGTTTATTTAAAAATTTTAGAAGGAAGGTATACCAGCTTTGACATTTTGGTTGATCAAATTCTGCAAATGTTGTTGCTGAAGTTGTTGTTGTTGCACCATTAGCCGCTGCTGTTCATGTTTCCGCCTCTGCTGCTCCTCTTGGCGAGCTTTAAGATCTATTCCCAAGTGATCACAAACAGCTTCATCTATTTTTGGTTTTATGCCCTAGGTTGATTAAATTATACATTAAGACAGGCCCGCACAACTCAATTTTGAAGGCAGGCCGTAATAGTTTATGAAAAACTTCTGCGGGTCGAAAGATGATAAAACAAGGGGAAAGCTATTAATAAAATAATAATAAAAAGAATATGTCGCTACTTCGCGGCCCGCCAAGTGGGTGCTGGTGGGCGGGTCGTATGTTGTGCAGGCCTGTATTAAGACATGTTTAAATGTTGAGATTAATTTTTTAAATACCTGGTAATAAGAAAACTATGTATTGCTGTAGCAATTTTCTAAATTTTAGAGGAGACATTTAAAACATATTACTTTTGAAACATTTGGTTAGTTCATGTGTCAGAAAATGTACTTTCCATGAATGAAATTAAAAAAATATTTTTACAGGACATGGGAAAGCCCTAGATTTTCAAAAAACTTTTAAAAGACCAATGTTAAAAAAAAAATTAAAAAATCAGACTTACAAATTTAGAGAGCTTCAAAGGCATATAATATTTCATTTTGATAATATTAGATATTGGAGTAACAAAAACAAATGAAATCAGGAACTGAGCTCAATTGATTATACTTTTTAAGATGTCCTTTGAAACGCTGAGGAAGATGTTTCCGATGACGAAATCATGGTTTTATATTGTTTCATGCAAGAACAAAATCTTACCTTGATATTTATTGAGTTATTTTTCTCTTTTGAAATTATATTTAGAGAGCATTTGTATATGATTCAAATCATCTATTTAGAAATGGTCAGTAAAAATTGAACTTTTGAAACAAAAGTAATTATTCATTCAATGATTCATTTGAATTAAGTTGTTAATATGTAACTTCCTTTTAATGTCTTAAATGTAATGATACAGATATTTTAGAACGGAGAATCAAAGAATATTTTCATGAATGCTAAGCAATATTAAACAAGACAAAACAATGACTATTATTTGATTACCAAGGAATTTCTCTCCTTGGCTTAGTTGGAAAGACTTTTGCCCTTGACACCCTAAAGCAATTGCAGACTCTGGCTAACCTCATCTATCCAGAGTCCCAGTGTGGCTTTCGATGTGGTAGTTCAACTATAACCATGATATCCTCATTACGCCAGTTGCAGGAGAAGTGTTGTGAACAGCATAGGCCTCTTTATACTGCTTTATAGAGCTTACAAAAGCATTTGACTTTGTAGGCCGGGGTGGCCGGTTAAGTATCTTGCATAAAATTGATTGTCCATCATGACTGCTCACAATCATACTGTCATTTCACAAAAACATGCACAGTAACCTTCCATGGAGCAATTTCTGAGATATCCCCACTTAGCAGAGGAGTGAAACAAGGCTGTGTACTTGCACCAACGCTCTTCTCCATTTTCTTCTCAATGTTTCTTCAGTTTACCTCCAGGGACTATGAAGATGGAGTGTACATCCATACCAGATCTTTTCAATATCGCCTGCCTTGTGCAAAGACCAAGGTAAAAAATAGTGCTGATTCATGAACTGCTGTTTGCTGACAATGCCATCTTAACACCGCTCACTCTCCATTGAAGAAGAGGTGAACATCAGGATCACAAAAGCAGCAGTAACGATGTCTAAATAATTGAATAAGTGGGAGTGGAATAATCCTAATCTCACCAAAAGCACAAAACTATGCGTCTATCAGGCATGTCTGCTCAGTATGCACCTAGATGGCAGTGAAGTGTGGACCATATATGCCAGTCATAAGTGGAAACTCTACAGCTGTAACCAAAGATGTCTGCGTCACATTTTGATAAGGACAAAGTGCCCAACATAGAAGTTTTGGAACATACCAAAATATGTAGCATGTCCTCTGCTCTTAGCAAGAAGAGAGAAGGAAGGCCGTATTCCAAAGAATCTTCTATATGGAGAGTTAGCAGGGGAAGAAACAAGACTAATTGGACTAATGGGGGATCATCGATGAGCACTATCCGGGTTGACAAACAGCCATGTATGAGGGAGTCAAACAGGTAGAAGATGAGCAAAACAAAGCCCTTGCAACAAAAATAGCATTACGGAAGGCCAAATTTAACCAGGAGTCAAGGTTTTCTGCAAGAAGTTCAGCTGATACTGCCATTCCAGGATTTGCCTCCTAATCCATTTTATGAAGTGTCAATAGCTACTTAAACATCTTGCGAAGACGGAAGGATGCCATATATAACATTGGATTAAATCATACATATACAAAAATAACAGACACATGGAGTAAATAATAGGGGGGGGGGGATGGCGCAGGTCAATCCCCTTGATTATACATTATAATCACAATATTTAGGACACAGTAGTTACTTTAATATTTACAATTAAAAAATATTAATCTATGGTAATTAATATTTAGAGGGGTAATAAAAGAAGAAGACAATATGAAAAATGATGCTTTTAAGTTATGGGGCAAAATAAATGATCTATTTCAAAATTCTTTTTAAAAAAAATAACTTTAGTTATTTGAACAAAGAAGACCTATTTATAAATAGAATTTACTAGAGCATAAAATAAAACATGTTGACTTACCAGCAAAATCTTAGGATTTACCACTTGTTCAATGATACGATCAACACCTATACTCATAACACCAGAGCTGTAAGAAATGCATGTTTATATTGTTTGGTAATTTTTGGTTAATTTAAACACAAGCAGGTTGAAATAATAGAGCTCTCCTAAAAAAAAAATTAAAAAATTAAGTAATTAAAAATCTAAATATGCCTTCACTGGTAAACTATAAAACAAGTGCATATTAAACACAATGATAAAATCAACCACAGCAATTTATGAAGAGTGCACATGTAGAAAAAACTTATTTGAAATATCTTGAAACTGTAGTCAAACATGAATAATTATTTTTAAAAAAATGAAATCAGATTTTGAGCAGAAGGAATCCAATCATACTTATTCAATTGTCGTCGAAGTGTTTCCCTAAGTTGATTCTTGTTTACATTTGAAGTCCATTTTTGACTATTTAGAAATCTCTCCACAAATTTTTCTACTCGCTGTATTAAATTGTGGTAAGCAGGCTGAAAAAAAGAAATAGTTAAGTGTTGAATTAACTGTTAAATACGGTTAATATATATTTTGTAAGATTCATTATATTTTATTTGAAATGTGGTAACCTTCGATTTCTCTAGAAACAATTTTTATTTGAAACATTCATGCACTTTTAAATGTGAAAAACTGTAAAATGTACAATGTGATTCATCCCTAATTATTATAATTGTTTTTAAAACAAGAGTTTTCATAATTTTAACCTGGCACCACTGGTTTTGCCATAACTTCTAGGTAGTGTTAATATAATAGTGGAGTACGTTTGTACTGAAATCAGTCAAAATCAGTGCTAACTTTTGGGAATTTTTTTTAAACAAAACGTTACAGCCATATCCATTCATACCTAGAGAATTATTATTTGTGATAATTCTGCATATATAAGTACCTCAAACACTGATGAATGAAATCAAAATTTAGACAAAGATGTTTCCCTTTTATACCCATTTTTATGTAGAAAAACACAAATTACAAATTATTCTGTTGGTGTGTTATTTGTGTCAACAAGGATTGTTATGTCATTCTGGTATAGGTCCCTAAGCCCTGGGCCCTGTTTTTAAAAAACAAATGGGTAATTTACTCAACCAATAATTGTATAAAAAAAAAAAAAACACTCCAAGTGTTGGAATTTTTTTAGAAGTCCTAGTTTACTAAGAGAAATAATTATATATTAGCCTATTTGTCTATGCATTCACCGCCAGCCATAGAAAGGAACTAACACTAACAACTGAAAACGTTTTATTATTATTTTTTTTTTTTAATTGAAAAAACAACCAGAATATTTTTTAACCTGGTCTCGTAAAATTGTTGTTCTGACAGGTCTTATCCTATACTCATAAAGAGATCTCAAAATCTTACGCTGTACAACCAAAATTGTGTAAGTAAACAGGTCTGGTATAACAATTCTTTATTATTACCGCAATTGGCAGTCCACAAAATGTTCTCCAACAATCTTAACTACACTGGCTCTTATCCTTAGACCACTCTCATCCCAATAAATCCCATACTGACAATAGAACTCCACAAAACTAACTCTACGAACTAACCTTGCAATCACCCTCACAAAACTTCTCACCAATTCACAATCAACAACTTTCATAAACAATAATGCTCCCAAATCCAGTTCATAACACTGCCATTGTCATGGGATCGGGGCATTTCTAGTTTGTTATAATGAGTGATAATAAGCAACTTTTCATCAACTCTCTACTACCTTTAGGGCCTGCTGTCTCCTCCCAAATTCCCACCACCTCCTGCTTACAACACCAGGCAAAGGCAAGTCAAACCTACCATCACATACTATGCTCTTTTGGGCAGTCTAGCAACTAAACTACCATACATTCATCTGCTAAAATTTACAGCTGCACTCATGAGTGGAACTATTTTAAATAGAGAAATCTATGTTTTTATCAACTTTCGTTAAAAAGCGCAATCATGGCAAGCTTCTTAATTCACAAGACAAGCAAGCGTAGGTGATGAAACAATTGAAAAGATCAAAGTAGAATTTATTAAAATTAATGTAGAAAGCAAGCGATAATTTTAGATTTTATTAATGTAGAAAGCAAGCGATAATTTTAGATTTTAAGATATATATAAAAATCATTACTGTTACAAATAGGTAGACAATAATGCTAGTGGGCTTTGGTAACCATTGTGAATTTTTTAAAATGCAGCGACAGTCAACTACCGATATTATAATTTAAAGGTTATTTCATAAATAACCATATTTATATCGTGAAAATAACATTTAATTCACTTTCGTATTTAATAAAAATGTAAAAAAAACATCGCTTGTTTTCTTCTTTTAAAAAAAATAAACATACACATTTTAAAGTGGAGTTATATCCCTTTGCTTATGCAGCGGGGCATGTTTTTGGTAGGTTAATCAGAAGTCAGTTAACACAACACAATGAACAATTTGTAAACAAGAAAAATATCCCTCAAACACAGAAGAGTTCTCCGACCCAGACAATCCATTTCTTTCCTTCCTAGAGTAGACTTAATCTTATTGAGACCGAGATAAAGTTTAACCTCCTTTAAATAGTTTTTACGGCCTAATAAGTCTATAAGCAAAAGTTTTTGCAGTAAACTATGAAATATTATTATTTCAATTTTTATCCTTTATAATAAAGAACATTTCAAAATAAAGTTTATTTTGAAATGTTCTTTAGCACCAAAATCAGGCATTAGTCCTCTCTATTTTCTAGCATGCCTGCTAGTCCTGGACATTAACAGCAGAACTTGAAAGAAAAATAAAGGCGATGGAGATGAGATGTTTCAGAAGCATTCTTGGAATCTGCTATAGGGACCATATCTCTAATGAACAAGTGAAAGAAAGGATGCGCCAAGCAATTGGGCAATATGATGAGCTCCTGGTGACTGTAAAAAATTGCAAACTGGAATGGTATGGCCACGTAACAAGAAAACAAGGGCTCGAGCCAAAGAAATCATGCAGGGCACAATGAGAGGAGGGAGAAGAAGAGGAAGACAGAGAAAAAGATGGGAAGATAACATTAAAGAGTGGACGGGAGTAAAACTAGACGTTGCTGTGTGAAGTGCAGAAAACAGAGGAATGGAGAAGGATAGTTTTCATATCATCTGTGGCGCCCCAACGGTCCAAGGACTAAAGGACATGATGATGACTATAGTATTAGCCCTGGGGATTCCAGATGGCGATCCATATATCCACCAACTAATGCTTAGTAGAGATACCACAAGCTGTCAAACAGCATGGAAGGAATGGTGGGTAATGAATGTGTTCTTTTGTGTGCTTTTGGTGCGTACATAATCAAGCACATGATTTTGATAGATTATGAACCTCTTCCCGTATTTTACATGCACAAGTTGGTTGCGTTGGCTGCCCCAGCTTCTACAAATATATATTAATATATATAGACTATAGAAAATATAACGTAGGCCAGCCGTATTAGTAGTAGAAAATTCAAAGTATAGTCATACTTCTACTCTAATTACAATAATACTAGTAATACTTAGGCTACTAATAATTTATTTCATATTAAATAAATAAATGAATCTTGATGTTGAACATTTGGACACAAATTTACACACACTACACTTACTGATTGTACTGTGTGAAACTTCTTGTAAAACTAGACTGTCTATTATACTATACTATGCATCTTTGTCTTTCAAATATAATTTTTTTTATAAAACTTTAGATTAAACAAAAAAGATTTAAAATTTATAGAGCCTTATGGGCGTGTTTTTAATAATTACCTTAGTGTCAACATCAGCAAGACATTCTTTTCTGAATTGATCAAATAGACCTTGCGACTTTACTTTGTTAATAACTTCTTGTATAGCTTTTCTATCTTTGGGGTTTTCCCTGTTGTGCTGTAGGTTCTCTGGCTCCATGTTTCAAAAATGCTATTTCCTATTGCGAAATTTAAAAATTAAGGTAATACATTCTTAAAATGTGACAGATATGTACATAATGAAAGTAAAGTTAATATTTCGACTTCGACAATTCTCACTGGAAGTCGCCATGATAGTTTGATCACAGGACTATTCCATTCATGAAAAATGGGGGTGTAAAGTTAGGTCTAATAAATAATGTAACTTAGTTTGAAATTTATGTACTATGATAATAATTATGAAAACCATTTTTAAAATAATAAACAAAATGCCTTCGCTTTAGTATATATAAAAATGGATCAATATAATTATTATTAATGACCTTTCAACCTATTTTTGTAATAGGACTGAGCTCTTAAACTTTAACTGTTCGCAGATGACACAGTAGTGTATAGGACGATCGCCAAAAGATCTGACCAGGACCAGTTACAACAGGATCTCAATCTGTTAGCTGAGTGGGAGATGAGCCGGGACATGGAATTTCATCCTGCCAAGTTCCAGACACTATCAGTCTCTAGAAGTTGTACTCCTCTACACTACCAATACGAACTGCACGGCCATATACTTGAGTAAGTTTCCCCCGTAAAGTACCTGGGTGTTACCATTCAAAGAGAGGTCCGCTGGGACGAGCATATTAACAATGTAGGCCCTATGTTGTTCGTCCGTCGAAGTCGACAAGAACCATCGAATCATCCGGTTAGGGGCGGGCGGGGGGGTTGGGATTACGGTGAGCTCTTAGGTGGCTTGTTAGACCGATCCTTGCTCGGAATAATCTATGACACAGTGGGCATGGAATAGTTGCTTCAGACGATGACCTAATGTTGCTCTTTCGGACAAGCCTGCGTGTCTCAGCTGTGGTTATTCTCTTAGCTTCATGGGATTTAGCCCCCTTCTTGACAGCAGCTCTCCATCTGGCTCTGTCCTGGGCTGTCTGCACCCATTGAGTAGTGTTTATGCTGAAGGCCTTTAGTGCCACTTTCAGTGAGTCTTTGTAACGCTTTCTTTGGCCTCCTTGGGAGCGCTTGCCTATCGTGAGTTCTCCAAAGAATATTTGTTTCGGGAGCCGGTGGTCTGCCATACGGGCTACGTGTCCCATCCAACGGAGCTGAGACTGCATCAGAGTGGTGAAGATACTAGGTAGGTTCGCTCTAGCGAGGACCTCGGTGTCGGGGACTTTGTCTTGCCACCTGATGTCGAGGAGTTTCCTGAGGCAGGTAGTGTGAAAATGATTCAGTTTCTTGGCGTGACGCTGGTAGACAGTCCACGTTTCACATCCATAAAGCAGTGTCGGGAGGACTGCTGCGCTATAGACCTTGAGCTTTGTTTCTCGACTGATACCTCTCCTGTCCCAAACAGTGCTGCGGAGCCTGCCAAATAGGGCACTAGCTTTTGCGAGTCTGCCATTCATTTCATCATCCATGACGACAGATCTAGAGAGGGTGCTGCCCAAGTAAGTAAATTTATCCACCGGGTTGAGACGCTGTCCACTGATGATGATGTTGGGTTCAACGTAGGGCTTACTGGGAGCTGGCTGATACATCACCTCAGTCTTCTTTGTGTTGATTGTGAGGCCAAAGTTATTGCAGGCCTCTGAGAAGATATCAACGCTGTGTTGCATGACGGCTTCTGATGGAGCATTAAGGGCACAATCGTCTGCAAACAGAAGCTCGTTGATCGTGGTATGTTTGACCTTGGTTTTAGCTTGAAGCCTCCTAAGGTTAAATACTGATCCATCAGTACGAAACCGGATTGGCAAGCCCATGGTGGAGTCCTTGAACGCATCAGACAGCATTGCGGAATACATAATACTGAAGAGTGTGGGAGCAAGAACACAACCCTGTTTTACACCGTTTGTGACGGGGAATGCTGGAGATGATTGACCGTTGTCCTGTACTCGGGCCATCATACCATCATGCAGCTGACGGATGATGTTTGTGAACTTGTCTGGGCATCCGTATTTCTTCATGATTTTCCACAAGCCAGCTCTATTGACCCTGTCAAAGGCCTTATTCAAGTCGATAAATGTAGTATATAGATCTGTATTTTGTTCCTGGCATTTCTCTTGAAGCTGTCTAGCAGCAAACAACATATCGATGGTTCCGCGTTTTTTTGCGGAAACCGCATTGACTTTCTGGTAGGAGACCTAGCTCCAGATGTGCATTCAAGCGGTTCAGAAGGGCTCGGGCCAAGATCTTGCCTGCAATGGACAGTGGTGAAATCCCGCGGTGATTGTCGCATGTCTGGTGGTTACCTTTGTGTTTGTACAGGTGGATGATTGAGGCATCCTTGAGGTCTTGTGGTTCAGTTTCCGTCCGCCAGATGATTTGGAATAAGCCCAATACCTTATCCGTCAGCGTTGGTCCACCTTCCTTGTAGATTTCGGCAGGAATCATGTCGGGGCCAGGTACTTTGCCATTGGACATTTGGCGGATCGCTGTCTGTATCTCATCAAAAGTTGGGACGGCGTCCAGTGAATTGTTCATTGGGACCTGGGGGAGTCTTTCAATGGCCTCATCATTAATGATGGAAGGTGTATTGAGCACACTTTCAAAGTGTTCCGCCCATCTTTCCAAGATTTTCTCTTTGTCTGTAATGAGCGTAGAACCGTCAGCACAAAGGAGAGGGGAAGAGCCTGAGGTGGAGACACCATAGATTTCTCTCAGGCCACGGTAGAAGTTTATCATGTCTTTCTTGTCTGCAAAGCCCTGTATTTCATCAGCTTTTGAATTCAACCAGGAATCTTGCATCTGGCGCAGTTGTATTTGGACCTTGCCCTATGTAACCAAGCAAACAAGACCCTAGGGTTCTTAAGGCGAAATCTAAAGATTGGCAACTCCTGTGTGAAAGAAAGAGCATATAAAGCCTTTATCCGTCCAATTTTAGATTATGCACCTTCAATCTGGGACCCATTTACCCAGAAGAGCATTGACAGGTTGGAGGCGGTCCAGCGACGAGCAGCTTTGTCCTAAACCGCTACAGGAATACCTCTAGTGTTGGCAGCATGCTGGAAACACTAGGCTGGTCACCATTGGAGAAACGACGACGACAATCCATGCTCTCCATGATGTACAAGATAAATAATGGGCTGGTCCACTGTTCCAGTATTAAACAGAAACTCGTCCTTCTCCCCCATAGACAGCGACGAGGCCATGACAGGCAATTCAGGCTCATACCAGCAAGAAGCCAGTATAGGAGCTGCTCATTCCTGCCCAAGACAATCAGGGACTGGAACAATCTTTCAAAAGGAACAGTTGAGGTGACAACACTAGACACATTTGTGTCTATTGCCGAAAGCCTTCAAACCCCTAGTGCATGATTCCCTCACAAAGTGGCAAATCCCATCTACATGCATAGGAGTAGGAGCCAAAATGATCAATAAATTGATCGTGGGCCCTTAAGATATAGAAGAAGAACTAGCCTAAATTAATTTACTTTGATGTTGCTCAATACGTCACTTAATAAATCATTTAACTAGTTTTGTCCAGTTTATTATCTCTTGTCGTAAAATTGTCTTGGGTTCTGTATTGTTTTTGAGGAAGGCTTATATTATCTACCAAGACGTCCGATCTTTTGTTTTGTTTCGTTATTCAAGCGTCCACAAATCTCGTCAAAAATTTCTGCCAGTTTATTAACCAGAGTTTAGCGGTCAGTATAGGCAGTAAAGTGGTTTCACATTCTCAACACACATTTTAAATTCTTTTTAAAAATAATAATAATTATTGCAGTTTTATATAAATATTAATTTTTAAAATAATGATAATTAATATGAATATTATTTCCGTTCTAGTTAGATAAGCAATTTGTTTGTTTCATTTCCTTAAAAAAGTGGAAGAGCCTTCTCTCCCTCATGTAAAAATGAATCCCCCTTGCACTATCTTGGTTTAAAGTAGTGAATACGTGAAAGGTCACAGTATGGCGGATGTGGTTATCAAATTGGCCACACGAAGAAAGTCTTTAGCGACTCATTAGTTTATCTTAGGATCTTAAAAGTGGAACAGTCTTTATATTTACATAGTAATAAGTTTAGAATTTTTAATTTGGATTATTAAAATGGAAGAAGATGACAATCCATATGAAACACTGGGTGAGGTATCGTCAATGACTACGCATATGCTTGCCGGTGCTGCAGCTGGGATCATGGAGCACTCTGTGATGTATCCAGTAGATTGCGTAAAGGTGGGTTTTCATGGCATTATATTACTTTACAAACCCCCCAAAAAAACTTAGGTGTACCAAACAAACATTTATTAGATAATAGGCGATACTGTCAACATGCCTACACAAGTTTTAACTCATTCTCTCCGGAATTATTTTCCACGTTCTGACGGATTTATCTATTTTGCCCTTTTGTTACGCACTACCATGTTGTCTCTAAACCTTCATAACTTTTTTGTTTTTCATCAGAAAGTGCTAAGTTTGGTATGGAATTAAAGGGGAATGCATGCTCTTTACAGACAATACAGACTTAGCTTTAAATTTCAATAAAAACATGTGATTTTGATTTATGGAAAATAAAAATTAAAAAAATCTTACCAAATTTTCGCTAAATGCTCATTCCAAGTCACACGAAGAGAAATATTTAATCCAAAGTGTAACAAAAATTTTTTTTTTCTGAACTATATCCATATGTGCATCACAAATAACAAATATCAACTTATAAAAAAGAAAATATTAAACACTAGAGTAGAGCACATTATCCATTGTCACCGTCACACAAAAAATGTGCTGTAAAAAATGTAACTATTTCCACTGAGTCCACTGGAAACAATTTGTTGCTATTATAAAATATTTGCACTGTATTCTTGTATGTACTAACATTTATTATGGTAAATGGAAAATGTACCATACATTTTTCATATCTTTTCATATGGATTTAGCTATGGTAAGCCTAAAAAACAATCCATAATATGGATGTGCACTTTAGCTAGGGGCTGGGCTGGTTGTTCATCAGCTGATGAATTACCAATTTCATTATTTCGTCACTACTACTACTAATACTAGTGCTAGGATTATTGATTCAACAGAATCAGCCTCTGCATTTCATTTGAAATCATAAAATCACTGTCTAAATCATCATCAAAGTAATAATTTCAACCTTTATTAGATCGATCACCAGATGGGTCAGGACAAGATTTCATGCTTGTAAACAAAAATAAAATGGACAATGTAAACAACCGCTTCAAACACTTCGTTCTATGCAAAACTTCTTTCAAACACAGAAAAACCGGATGCTTAATTAAGGGAAATCATTCTAGAATGAATTGATTTTAAATAACTAAAAACCAAAGCTAAGTAAAAACCGAAATACACAGGTTTTTATACATCGGCGATCCCATCGTCGATTTGAACTGAAGATTTTGGAGCATGGATCCGGAGAGAAAGAGTTAAGTAGTTTCTCAGGCCCTGTCAAGTTGACTGCACAGTCAAGTCTATAACTACTCAACTTATTTTTCTAAAAAAAACAGTCTTATAAATTTATTAAAAGTGTTCCAGTATCAGTTATTACTATTAGGCTTTAGGCTATTATTAGTTAAGCCTTTTTGGTAAAGATTAGGTTAATTGTATGGGGTTTTCCAAGAGTTGTCTCACCCTACTAAGTTTAAGTGCAGTGATAATGGGGGAATCTCAACACTCTCACTCACTCAATACAGGTCTTGGGGTGAATAGACCAATCTACGCTGAGCACTATTCACAGTTATTGTTAAAGAAATTTTTTGAAATTAAAAGTGCCACTCGTTTTATTAAAATTCATCTTACAATTACAAGGTTCAAAAGAAATTAAAAAAAGAAACTCATCCTTGTTGATACCCCAAGATGAACACTGGTGAAAAAAGAAATAAAGGCGCTAAAAGTGCTGTCTTTTAATTGGTTGAAAAAAGAAGTACCCTTATGACTTAATGCTATTCAGGCTATTCTTATTTTCATTTCTATCATGTTGCCATTTTATGTAACATTTCACCATAATTTTCTGTTGAGGGGAGAACCCTCTTTCGTTTTCAATAGCAAAAAACAAAATAATTTTCTGGGGAGGGAAGACCCCTAACTAAAGTGACCATTCTTACTGTTTTTACCAGTACAGTACTTGAATTAGGACATTAGAATTTTTTCTGTTTAGTCTATTTTTAAAAAGAATGCCTCATTCTGAGTGTAACCATAAATAATTGTTTATTGTTTGACACCCAAGGGGCTGAAAACTTTAAATGTCCTGGATATAAATTTGAAGAAAAAAAAATGGTCACCTTTTGCTGAAACAAAGTACGGTATTGCTAATTAATTACAAGACGTCTTACGCAATAGGCTCAGTTTTAATAAGATAAAATAAGATTCTTTTGTTGATCAAAACAATTGGAAATGTTCTTTTATTACATTGTACATACACTATACATTTTCAGCACATAAATAAATACATATTTTATTTTAATTAAATTCCACATTTTCCAAATATAACAATTTCAAGTAATCTAGTTGTGAAAAAAATGTAGGCAGACACTATTCAATTGTTGCAGTAAACCTTACACCTAATCCTGTGTTAATGGCCACAGTAGATATGTATTTTTAGAATACACAGTACACAGTGGGGGGCCGTTACAAATATTGACACTCTAGAACATACAGTATTAAAATATAGTGCTCAGTAAGAAAACAAACATCAACTATATGAAAATGAGTATGCAAAAGAAATACACATGCTACAGACCATTAGCTGTCAGTCTCTTTGATGAAACTGAGACAAGCATGTTTTACGCTACAAATAATTCTTAACTAAAATTCATTAAGACTAAGAAACCTGCATTTCTTCCAATCCATTTAACGGATTCTATTTTTTAAATTTAAATTACCATGAGATTATACTTGATTAATTAAGAATGGTTTTTAGTTTATTTATGTACTAGCGAGTACCCGGCATGCATTGCAATGCCAAATAACGAAAGAACGTGTTTGTGTTTTAATTACGTTTTTTGGAGTACTTTTTATAAAGACAATATTTCTTTGTTTTTACGTCTAGTGCGTACACAAATAAATTTGAAAGATTTTAGGACATGTGAGCAGGCCACATACAGCTGTCCATGTGAGAAGCATGGAAATTCATAATTTAGGACACACACTTTTAGCGATCGATCCACCCATGCAATAGCTCTGATTGATATTATATTTATATAGCTCATATAATTTAAAAAAAAACAAATTTTTTGCAAACGGAATACTGTAAAATGGTTGTACTAATTCAGAACCTTTGCAGGCCTGCGCAGAACAACTCACCTTGCAATAGGACGAATGGTACAGGAACGCATGCGGAAATTATATTTAAATAGCTCATTTTAGAAAAAAAAGAATTTAGAGCCCCCCGCCCCAAACTGAATATGTTAAAATTATTGTAATAATTCGCGGGTGTGCGGACAACTCACCAAACTTTTATTATATTGATAATGCTCATTTAAGAAAAAAAACAATTAAAGGCCCCGGGCACAAAACGAAACATTGTTTGACACCCATTTTAATCTTAAAATATGGAGCAATATTTGTGTTTTCACATATGCCCAGTCTTGATGCTAAAGATCTAATAAATAGCCTCCAAAGACACAAACAGGTCATAATTTTTCACCTGCCCACATGACACATACTTCTTAATTCCCACCGTAACTGTATAAAACCAGATAAAACACTGTTGTGCCGTCTCTGCAGAGATCCAAATGAGACAGTAACACATCACCACTTTCACTGCCCAGCACGTCAAGACTTAGCCTAAACTACCGTCCAAAAACACCAGACTCCACAAACTCTCTATATACAAAAAAAAGAAAAGCTTGGAGTGGAGCGTTTTTAAGTTCTTCACCATGGCAGGAGGCCAAAGGGCACACGCCCAAATGGCCACTGGATTTGAATGATGATGATGCTTCTGAAAATATGAATCTAGGTTTTGAATTAAACACGATTAATTTTAAATTCTGCTTGCTTAGATTTAGATTTTAGATTGAGCAAGAAAATGGAGTAATTAATACATATTTGCATTGTTATAAATTATTACCTCTAGTGAGTATTGAGAAAGCAAGCTACTGGTATAAAAAATATTCTTTTGGGAAAACTAGATGTAGCGTGTCCCATTTTTAATTGTTTAAAGTCATCAATAAAATTAAATTTTACCTCTCTCTGTTTTGTAAGACAGTCAACCTACCCTAACCTTTTTTTTACATCAATTCCCCCCCCCCCTCTACTAATTTTCCTCTACTTGTACCCATCCCCCTTACGTTCCGTCCTAGGCTAAATGCTCATTTCTATGTCCTATATGTTGCGTGTTCCATTTTTTATTTTTTAAAGTCATCAATAAAATTAAAATTTTCCCCTCTCTGTTTTTTAAGACCGTCCACCTTCCCTAACCTTTTTTTTTCATCAATTCCCCCCCCCCCCTCTACTAATTTTCCTCTACTTGTACCCATCCCCCTTACGTTCCGTCCTAGGCTAAATGCTCATTTCTATGTCCTAAAATCTAAACTATCCTGTGCCACCCAAACTACAAATACCCTCTTACCCATTCAATCTGATCTGTGATAATAGCTATGTAATATCAAGAAAGTAACTTCTTTCTGTTTCAGACAAGAATGCAATGCCTTGTTCCTGATCCTAAGGCTGACTATCGAAGTGTTGTGGATGCCCTAAACAAAATTGTTCGGCACGAGGGAATTAAAAATACTGTCAGGGGATTCAGTGCTATGGCTCTTGGTGCAGGACCTGCTCATGCTTTGTACTTTGCCTGTTATGAAAAGGTCAAGCACATTTTGAGTGGTGGGAAGCAAGGAAATCATTATGCACATTGTGAGTTTTTTGTGTGTGGTTTTTGATGGTTAAGAATCACCCATATAAATCTCGTGGTTCATATCCCTCTTCCAACTTTCATTTTGATTTAAAAGCCTCTTTCTTTCTCTTGTTTTATGTCTGATTGTTCTCTTTTGATAACTTGAAAGTATTTTTACTCAGAAAGTCATTGTCGTCTCATCTTTAACTAGAACAATGTTGCTTCAGCATTGTATTAATGGGAATAAGATACTTCTGTGTGCTTAGTATTCAGCATTCTGTGGTTATGTAGTTGTGTATAATCATTTATGCAACACTAATATTTAATATATATATAATGTATATTTTACATTTTATTCTCAGTTTGTGCAGGAAGCACTGCAACACTCTTTCATGATGCAATCATGAACCCAGCTGATGGTAAGCATTTTTCTCATCTTAGTTTCTTTCTCATTCTTGTAAAATAAAAATTTTGCTTTCTTAGATACCTTTTTTTTTAGGGATTCCAATCTTAATTATTCTGGATTTCACCTGCTTAAAGGTTTCTTTTTTTTCTCCAGTTGTTAAACAACGCATGCAGATGTATGGTAGTCCCTATCATTCTACTTGGATCTGTTTTAGAGACATCTTGAGATCAGAAGGTGTTAGGGCATTCTACAGAAGTTATACCACCCAGCTTACTATGAACATACCTTTCCAATCTATTCAGTTTATAACCTATGAAGTAATGCAAGATCTATTGAATAAAGAGCGCAACTATGATCCCACTTCTCACATTGTTGCAGGGGCATTGGCAGGTGCTGTAGCAGCCAGTGTAACAATGCCATTAGACGTTTGTAAAACACTTCTTAACACTCAAGAGCACTGTGCCAGAAATCACTTAGCTTATATAAATGGCATGGCATCTGCATTTCGGACTATATATGAATTTTGTGGTGTGGCTGGATTTTTTCGAGGACTTACTGCACGCGTTATCTACCAGATGCCATCTACAGCGATATCATGGTCTGTGTATGAGTTCTTCAAATACATGATTCATAAAAGAAAACAGCAGTCATCAGAAGACATGTACATAGGATCCTCTGTTCGTATAGCTGCCGCAACTGCCAGGTGAATTGACCTAAACTTAGGAGTATGTAAGTGTTCTATTCTTAAGATAAAAAAGAACCTATACCAATATTTAATCCCCATTATGTTCATTAGTTTTGCTAAATCAATCACCACCCATTTCTTTCCTAAACAATTCTCATAGGTTGTTCATTTTCCTGTCTACTTGGGTCAAGTTTAATATCAAAGACTTTTAACACTCCTTTGCTTTAACTTTCATCTAATTATTTATAGGGGGGTGCCTTTATTAATTAATAGTTTGATTATTTATTTGACGCCCTAAAACTGCCAAAGTTAACATAAAAATTATTCTTATTGTGTGGTGTATTTATGTTTGAAATATTCTTTTTTGAAGAAACAGTCTCAATCTAACACCAATAATACCAATGCAAGTCAGCAATGAGCAAAATAAAATAAAGGAGTTAAATAAGTAAGTTGTCAGCTTTATTTACAATGCTGTTTATGGTTGTTCTTTTTTAAATTGTCACTTTTATTTATTTTTTTTAAATTTCTGAAATAGGAACTTAAGATTTGTTCCTTTTTAATTTGGTTGAATTTTTGTTCTTGTGTAATGATAATATTTTCAGTACAGCAAATATTAGAGTAGGGAAATGGAATAGATGAGAAGTTTTAAACTAGTGGTAAGGTACACAAATTTTGAAAACAGCTGGATTAAATCATTATTATTTTATGGGTTACCAACTACTCCACTCTCAAAGCTATGCTTGTATCTTTTTATTTCCTTTTTATGTCAACAGAGTAAATTTGCCACATCTTCTTAACATTATAGAGCCATATTTAAACATCTTAAAAGTCACCATTTATATCTTAGTAGAACAAATTATGTATTCCTGATCAGCAGATTAGATATGCAAAGACACCCTAGTAATTTTAGATATGATCTTACCTAGGGCAATATTAAGCAAGCAATTAATAGAAAGAATTTCCTTTAATGTTTTTATTATAAAATCCCAAAATATTTCCTGTGTCTATTAATTTTTTCTACCTTGCCTCCACCAAAAGTCCAAGCATAAAATTTTTCATTTCTTTTACATTCTCATTTAGAGTCAACCACCATGTTTTCTTTTCAAGAAATAAAAAAAGAACCTTATTTAATTTTTTATGTTTTATTTCAAGTGTGGATATTTATTTCTTTATATACTAGAATAGAATACCCTGCAATCATATGCTTCTTTTAACCCACGAACTGTGGTCGGCCGAAAAAATCGTCGACTTTCTTGTTCTGTACTGTGGCAGCCGATAAAAAACACTGTCCGATAGCAACTTCAAATCCAATATTTAAACGGAATTATAGCCACTTCCTTTTATTAATAGTAGTCCCAGTTTCTTATATAAATGCAAAACTCTCTAAAAAGCTCCGCACCACAGAATAATACATGCCACAGTTCGTGGGTTAACACCCATAAACTAAATCATTGAAAGTGAGGCAACCATAATCCCTCAGAGATGGGTAAACCCATATTGTAAATTTCAAGTAGCTAAAATCTTCTTACTTTAAAACTGTTTCACTCATTCTTTTTTTGGACCACAATGTCTGGCTTATTTATATAACCATAATAAATGGAATCAATTCATCTATTTTGAGCATTTAGCCCAGTAGCTCAACAACTTTGAGAGACCTGCATTGAGACATACTGCTGAGTCACTATAACTTATCTACATGTTTTAGAAGTGCCATTTAGACCCTGTGTACTTTGACACACTTTTGTGTGTGCAATGTGTGGTGAGGTTGCAGTTATGCTGTACTGCAGGGTTTCCTAACCAGGGGTACTCACATCTCCAAGGGGTGCAAGATGGCGTTTGAGGGGTGTAGGATTAAGTGATTTTAAGATTAGAAACACTGTTGACTTAAAAGTTTTCAAATAAATACTTATTTATTCTTTTAATTTCTTCTTAAACATTTTACTTTAAGGCATTGGGTCACACGTATATTTTCGAACACCTTTAGTAATTCTCATAGTAATTCAATAAAAATAAATAAATTAGGAGTCCCTTTGTTTCCAATTTTTAAATCGCATTATTACTTCTATAAGGGATGTGAAACTTAGTCAGACAATTCATATAAGGTGTGAAAATTAGTCAAACATTGTGAATGGGGTGCAGAATAAAAGAAAGGTTGGGAAACACTGCTATACTGACTAGAAAGGTTATAGAATCAATTTATTGTGATGAATCCATTTTTAGAAACTTGATGTTCAGAAATAACTGAAATGCAATATTTTATAGGGAAGCTTTTGTTCAGTCAAATCTATAGCACTTTATGTCTAAAATCTATAGACTGTTCTGACTACTGTTGTCCACATTTATCATTTTAATGTGATTTTGATTTTAGCTATTATAAATCAGGGGTCCTCATCCTTATTGCTGTAAAGAACCTCATTGAAGAAATATACTTATAAAACTTTTACATTCCAGGAAAGTCTCAATGATAGTGCATTTTCAAAATTTTGGCCAATTCTTAAATAAACATCAGGGCTGTATTTGGGATACATACACCGAGGACTTCTAACTTGTAACAATTGTTTCTTACTGCAAAGCTCTTTGCCTAATTAGTTCAGATTCTCCAACTAAAAATGCTAATACAACTTTTTATATACTTTTATGTGTGTTTGATCTACAACATGGGTGTCATAAATCTATGGTGTGGCTGAAAATCAATTAATTGATGTTACATTTACATGTATAAAAATTTATATACCCAAAGGTGCCTGCTCAAGTTGGTTAATGGATGAAACAAATATATTTAAATAAAACATTCCATGACTTTCCATATTTAAATTATGAATTAAAAAAATAATTAAATTTAATCTAATAATTTTACAATAAAAATGATGAAATAAGAAGGTAATGAGCGAGCAAGGCACTGTTGAAAGAGAACTTGTATTTTGTGTAGAATTCACTTTTAAAATGACCCATTTCAGCTGTATTTTCTTCTTTTTTCTTTGCTATATTATGAATTAAGAAGTTTATTGAAAGTTGTTGAGTGCTATTCAGAATATTTTTGTAATTGATGGAAATTCAAAGCATGCAACAAAAAATATGTCTTATTAATTAATGCAGATTTTAACTTTAAAGTTTTATAAGGGCATTTGTGTGAACTATTCATTTATGAACATGTAGAATGGCATATTATAGATATACCAGAAAATACTAGAAATTAAAAATTATTTGTTCAGAATCCCTGTAAGAACTTTTGAAAGTAAATTTATGAAATAGTTTAAAGAATCTAAATATAGTTAAATGTGTTACCCTGTATATAAAAATTAAAGATTTGTCTATTGGTACTGACTACTTAAGCATTCACTTTGTGAAAAAGCTGTGGAAGGCAAGTTGGCAATGTTTTGGAATTCCTGTTGTCAGACCAAGTATAATTCAATCAAATTTCTTGTAACCAGCGCTGATCTTTAGCTTTTGGTAGACATAAAAGACTTAAGATAAAAGGGGTGTGGTTGGGGGGGGGGGGTTAAGGATCTGATGGATTAGTATGGAATTACCATAGCTTGAGGGTCTGTCTAAGGCTTATAATGTAAGTCTTTAGTTATCTGGGTTGGACATTTAAAAAAAAAAATTCTGAACATATTTTTGACTATGTTTAACCATCCTAATCCATCACATGCTCATGTTGTGCAGATGTTCAAAAGATTGCTTTATTTAAAACTCCTATCAATGTTTTAGATTAGCTTGCTTACAATCTTCTTTTGCGAGTGATAAATTAGTTTTATCAATTTGAAATTAATCAGCTTCTCCTTTTAACAATAAGAAATATACACAGGGTAGAGAGAAACTGAGGTAGTCTTAAAATTATTATTATTTTTTAAAATGTCATAGAAATGGTAGTGATGTGACAATTTGTTTCTGATTTCATTTCAGTACCCCAAGCATTAGCAGATAGCATTACTCAAAGGCACAGCGCAGCATACAACTTCAGTTACAGAGAAATTCAACTTTAAAACAGATCTAATGAGTATGCTTCACTGAATTAAAAGAGGTCCAAGTGCTATAATCTGACAAAACCAATGAAACTCTACTGCAGATTTAAAAAAAAAATCATTTATAAATCAATATTATAAATCAACACAATTGAGACATCATTTCAAAATTAATAATGTAAGATTAATTGAATTTTTGGTGGTCTTTGAAGGATATAAATTATATTAAAATCAAATTTCCCCAACGAATTTTAGTATTATTAACAACAGAGCTTTTAGATTTTGAGCATGAAAGACAGATACGATTATTATTCTAGCCTTATTAAAAAAATTTTCATTGTATATAAAATTACTTATGTTGAGCAAGTGTCATCTCTGTACAGATTTTAGTCAGGAAAGTTTGAGATAAGAAGAATGAGTGTAATGAATTGTGTGAATGTGGTGGAAATTATTTGAACACAACAAATTTGAAAATCAGATCCTTAACATTGATTGAAATGGCGCAATTTTTAACTTGTTTGATGCTGTATAAATTTAAAAATTAGCCTTAGCCGCTGTTGGTCTTTCTTGACATGATGACTCTAGTGGTCTTACTCTCTGTAAAATTGATTGATTGAATGAACTGTTGTTTTTTTTTAGTCCAGTTACAATTTTCCAATGTCTGTGTACTGATTGATCTCAGTGAATTTAACCGATCAGCAAGTGGTCTGGTGTTTTATTTGCAATGTACTTATTATTTAGCAGATACCTTCAGACATACAGTGTATGTGTGAGATTTGTGAGAAAGGGGTCGGACTTTGCAGATGTAAATAAAGCATGGTAGATTTAATACTGCCAAATACTTAAATTAAGTCATTCACGAGGAAAGGGTCATCCTTATATTAGGTATGAACTGAAAAAAAGGGGGGGGGGGGTTGTCAGATTACATGATTTTTATGTATGAGTATATGATAAGGGTTTCAACAAATGTCTTATATTATATGTTAAAAAGTTAAACCAGTTTAAATTCAATCATCTATGGCCATCTAGTTATACTTATTAATATAAATTATTTCATGAGCTCCATAGATTTCAGACACAAAGAATTATATCTTATTTCATAAGATATTAAAAAACGTGTTCTGTGTGCAGGGGGGGGGGGGGGGACTTTCTTATAAACAAAATATTTTGTTTTCTCATGCGCAACCAAAGTTTAAAAGTGAGAGTACTTGAGTATTTATATCTCTTCATAATTAAGTGTAACTGCTAGATTGAAGCAGTGTGCAAGAGCTAAAGATGGCCACATATAATAATATTTGAGGTATGTCAGTTAGTGGTGACTAGTTGGTAATTAGTGTCTCATGGGATATCAAGCTTTGATAGTGAGCTATCTTGTGTATGACTGCAACATCAAGAATAGAGCAGACTGATTTGGCTAGAAATTATCATATTTAATGATACTTAAACTTGATTAAAACTTATTAAAATCAATAAATGTCAAAGAGAGGGAGACACAAAAAATAGGAGCAATACTTTATAATGCTGAAAGAATGTTTAGTATTTTCTAAGTATATAACAGTAAGTTTTTCCTGAATTTATGATCTAAAAACTTAAAGGTGGTGATATTTTTTTATTTAGAGCCAATTCTGGTTAAATCAATGAATAATTTGCATAGTGGTAAAATCATCACAAACATTTTAAATGTCAACTGTATGCTAAGAATATGTTGTCTATTTAAGTACCGGTATGAAAAGGGGAACTTTATTAATTCCATCATAAGATGCACTGAGACTGTCTAGATTTATAAGATTATTAGATTAAATGGTTAAAAGGGATTATTTTACTTCATTGAAGCAGTTTGTGTTTTGTTTTTGTTTTTTAAAAAATGATTATACTACCAGGTATAATAAATTGTTCACGAGCATGACATATATATTAAGGAAATTTTGTGGACAGCTCAGCATGAGATCTAGTAAATCACTGATTTGATTAAGTCATTGTGTCTTTCAATTTCAAGTGCTTTTGATAGATTTTGGGCAAAATTATAGTTTTTCTGACAAGAACTGTAGAGGAAAAATTCACTATATGTGTATAGGCACTAACTGAATTCATTGTACCGGTACAGAGAAAGGGCTGGAAGGAGTGAAAAAAAAGTATTTAAAAAATTTTTTTTTGAAATATCTATATTGTCTTAATTTTTTTTCTTGATAATTTATTATCAAAAAGTATATTTTAACATCTGAACTTAAAGGTAAGTTGACATTATTTTGCTTAAAGATAAATTATCAATGTAGCCTTGGCTGAAACTATCAGGAAAAGCTAAGTTGACATTATTTAGTTTAAAGAAAAATTATCAATGTAGCCTTGGCTGAAACTATCAGGAAATGCAAGATAACATGTTTTTTTTTTAAATGTCAAAGTAACATTGGTCCAGTCACTTATTGTCAAACTTTTAGAAATGACCAACATTAAGAAAAGTTTAAGTTTTTTAAAAACTGATATATTTTTGTTAACTTATGTTTTATGTTTGAAATGTCTACTTGTCAAATGAAGAACATTTACAAGTCTATGTACATTCTTACTTTTTAATTTACTGCCCTGATAAAATGGAAAGTATTGTTATTTTTATAATTTTTATTTATTGGTACAAATTTTTATTTAAATTTAAAAGCCCAAAATATTCATTGTTATTTAGTAACATTTATTTGATGCAAAAAAAGTTAACTGCAATTTTTGATAAATTAAGTACCAGTATTACTGGTACTTGATAGTTATTTTCCATTGTTTGGGGATAGGGGCAGATTTTTTGCTTATGTTTTAATTAAATTTTCACCCCCTTGTCAGATGAAGAACATCTACAAGCCAGTGTACATTGTAGAGTGAATTCATATTAATAATAGTCAGCTTTGTTGGTGGTGCGTCATAGTGTTATCTTGTGCTGCAAAGGACCTCAGCTGTTTTTAACTTTCTTTGAGGCTTTTGTTTGCTGGCCTGTGTACTCACGGCAAGACATTGTCACATCTCAAGGACTCGAAAACCATTTTTTTTAAAATAAAAAACAAAATGAATCATTTTTTACCAGTTCTTTTGATTTATGGAACTGAGAACTTATCGTGAAATTTGCTCATTGCACTTAAAGTTTTGAATTTTTAAAACAGTTTTTTTTGGTCAATACATTCAGTTGATTTGAGTTGACTTGCACTGTTTGATATACTCTGAAGAGTACACAGACTGGCCTGGATCATAGTGGTGAAGATTTTTCTTATGCATTTTGATTTATTATTGAGACTTAAAGCTTTCAATCATTGTGTTGGTTTGGCTCTTAAATAATATTTTAAAAACCTTGTCAGGTTTAGAAAACCTACAAGCACTTTGTAAAATAAAACTATGCAAATTAACATTTCCTTAATATATGGACAACATGTATATGGCATTGTAGAGCACATTCTCTAGTGTCTTAGTGTTACACACTCTTTTCTTTAAAAATTAAAAAAAAAACTTGTCAAACAAAGAATGTTTACAAGTCTGTGTAAATTGATATGCAATATATTCCCTGTGAGATTCTTTATTGCAAACTGAAATCTTTAATAATATTTAATAAGCAGATCATCCCTTAAAATGGTTGAGTACATTTATAGAGTTGAATACATTGTATATGTTGAATGCAGATAAAAATAAAATTATGTACCAGCATACAAGACAATCACATGACTTAATATTCCACACAAAAATAAAGAAAAGACTTCACCTTGAAAGTTACCTGCATGTATCATGAGAAGTATAGTTAAGTTCTGATAAGTGGTCCATATCATGGCTAGAAAATTATTAATGCATTTCGGGGGTCGATAATTTAGGAGATATATATATATATTTACAAGCTGTGAAGTTCTGAGGTATGAAGGAAATTGTTAACTGGATGTTGATTTGTAGAGATATAAGGGGGCTGTGTAATTAGAGAATATTCCTCTATAAATTTTTATACATTATACTTGATCAAAAACTAAATTGTGTTCTTTTGAATATTCAAACATTTTTTTCTTCTTTTTGTTAAGTTTTATCATATTCTCTAATTAAATCGCCACCCTTGTATGTCTAGTTTCATTGAACTTGTTTAACAGTTTTGAAAGATATTCAAACCATGAAATGGTTTCATGTCAAATTCAGGAGGTTTACATGGAATCTCAACTAACTATGTGATATTTTTATCCTTGAACATGTTTCATGCTTGTTTCAAAGTTGTATAGCATGTTTTAATATTATCTCTCTGGACTATAAAAGCTGTTGAAAGAGGAAAAAAAAATGGATGCTTTTTAGGCTTCCCAGGCCATCTTACAGTTTTTTTAATGTACATGACTGGGTATACACTGGCCTATGGTCATTATTATTCAATATTTATGTACCAACATAAGATCAAGGTTCAAACAGTCTGAGAAATAAACATTATTTTGTATTCACTTACACTTAAGATCTCATGTGAATCTTTTATCTTTGTGTACTCTGTGTGTAAGAATCAATAACAATAAGACCAGATTTCTGGACTGTATCTTGCCTTCAATATCTGACCTGCAAACAAACCATTATGAAAATTATAATAACTAACTATATCATTTTATTTTAAAAATTCCTCACTGAGCTGTGTCAGAAGTCAATATTATTTATAGATCAAATTCAGCAGAGATTATTTAAAACATTAAATATTCTTTTTTGCTACTGGTATATATAATTTAGCAAGCTAGTGCAATTTAATACATATTGAATACAGTAATAGAGCATAATAGAGCATAGAGCCAACAAGACTACTGCTTGTACAAAGCACCCAATGCACTTTGAGTCAATCAGCTCTGCAAGTAGGCCTATAAACTATAATTTATGTTGTCACTTGTCAGTGGTAGGCTTTGATGGTAAAAAATTGCACTCAGGAAGATTATAAGAACACCCAGTGGAATATAGTACCGGCACTGTGTTGGATGGTATATCAGTTGAACCCCTCCCCCCTTGTAGACTACATGTTATTACAATTGGCAACAGCATGTTGTGAGAGTGTCTCGAATTAACAAGTTGTAACTAAAACCTAAGTTGTGGTATTACAGAATGAAGAATGGATAATATCCGAAATTTGATAATTTTTCTTTAATCAATAGCTGAATTTCAGGGCTGTTGCAAGAAATATTTTTGGATCACTTACTCAGCTCCATATGTAGAAACTATAGCCTACTTTCCAGGTGGGAAGTAATGATAAAAAGAGGAATTATTTCACATTAAATTTAAATTATAAACTAAATTACAAAAAAATCTCATCACATTTTTTAAGAAATAGCATCACCCTTTGGAAAAGTCTTCAATATAAATTTTAATCATGTCACTTGACAAATCTGGTGGTATAAGGGGGGAGGGGGGTAGGGGGGAATCCGCTCTGGGCATCCCATTTTGTGGGACAGATTTTCGGTACACCACATAACTCTTATTATTGTACATGGTCTTTATAGTACCGATATGTTTTAGGAGCATTCTGTCAGTATTCACGAGTGATGGGAATCTAGGATCGCCCTAGATGTCGCAAACTCAAACTCCTAGGACCTAGCTTTAGGTCTATTAGTGTTGCTCACCTGGAATGAGTTTGATTGGTGATTTGATTCCCTGTGCAGTGATAACAAAACAAAGGGCAATCCAGTGGGGGTAGTTTGGGTTAGTACCACCCACCCCTCAATGTAAGAAAAAAAAAAGTAGCATTAAGTTAGTAATAAAATTAAAATAAATTTTTATTTAACCTTGGCCTTGTCAAGATGTTGCATATCCATGAGCACATGTTAGCTAGCTACTTATTTGATGACACTTATATTATTTATTACTAATATTACAATTGCATTTGTTCAGGAAATTAAAGAAAATACAACCTGTCACATATTTTTAAATGGTAAAAACCTGTTACA